GGTAATTTTTGACCCATGTCTATACGAATCTTGGGGTAAGATTTGGACATGAATTTCGACTAAAAAATCGCTGTTCATATTTGAATGCCAGATTAATCTAGAGGGAAAACCATGAAGAAAACGCCAAACTTCGTGAAATTCGGATGAGATTTGACCGAGTTATGGGGGTGGTAATTTTTGACCCATGTCTATATACGAATCTTGGGGTAAGATTTGGACATGAATTTCGACTAAAAAATCGCTGTTCATATTTGAATGCCAGCCTAATCTAAAGGGAAAACCATAAAGAAAAAGCCAAACTTCGTGAAAATCGGATGAGATTTGACCGAGTTATGGGGGTGGTAATTTTTGACCCATGTCTATATACGAATCTTGGGGTAAGATTTGGACATGAATTTCGACTAAAAAATCGGTGTTCAGATTTGAATGCCAGATTAATCTAGAGGGAAAACCATGAAGAAAAAGCCAAACTTCGTGAAAATTGGATGAGATTCGACCGAGTTATGGGGGTGGTAATTTTTGACCCATGTCTATATACGAATCTTGGGGTAAGATTTGGACATGAATTTCGACTAAAAAATCGCTGTTCATATTTGAATGCCAGATTAATCTAGAGGGAAAACCATGAAGAAAACGCCAAACTTCGTGAAATTCGGATGAGATTTGACCGAGTTATGGGGGTGGTAATTTTTGACCCATGTCTATATACGAATCTTGGGGTAAGATTTGGACATGAATTTCGACTAAAAAATCGCTGTTCATATTTGAATGCCAGAATAATCTAGAGAGAAAACCATGAAGAAAAAGCCAGACTTCATGAAAATCGGATGAGATTTGACCGAGTTATGGGGGTGGTAAATTTTGACCCATGTCTATATACGAATCTTGGGGTAAGATTTGGACATGAATTTCGACTAAAAAATCGGTGTTCAGATTTGAATGCCAGATCAATCTAGAGGGAAAACCATGAAGAAAAAGCCAAACTTCGTGAAAATTGGATGAGATTCGACCGAGTTATGGGGGTGGTAATTTTTGACCCATGTCTATATACGAATCTTGGGGTAAGATTTGGACATGAATTTCGACTAAAAAATCGCTGTTCATATTTGAATGCCAGATTAATCTAGAGGGAAAACCATGAAGAAAACGCCAAACTTCGTGAAATTCGGATGAGATTTGACCGAGTTATGGGGGTGGTAATTTTTGACCCATGTCTATATACGAATCTTGGGGTAAGATTTGGACATGAATTTCGACTAAAAAATCGCTGTTCATATTTGAATGCCAGATTAATCTAGAGGGAAAACCATGAAGAAAACGCCAAACTTCGTGAAATTCGGATGAGATTTGACCGAGTTATGGGGGTGGTAATTTTTGACCCATGTCTATATACGAATCTTGGGGTAAGATTTGGACATGAATTTCGACTAAAAAATCGCTGTCGAGATATGAATGCCAGCTTAATCTTAAGGGAAAACCATAAAGAAAAAGCCAAACTTCGTGAAAATCGGATGAGATTTGACCGAGTTATGGGGGTGGTAATTTTTTACCCATGTCTAGGTACGAATCTTGGGGTAAGATTTGGACATGAATTTCGACTAAAAAATCGCTGTTCATATTTAAATGCCAGATTAATCTAGAGGGAAAACCATGAAGAAAACGCCAAACTTCGTGAAAATCGGATGAGATTTGACCGAGTTATGGGGTTGGTAAATTTTGACCCATGTCTATATACGAATCTTGGGGTAAGATTTGGACATGCATTTCGACTAAATAATCGGGGTTCAGATTTTAATGCCAGATTAATCTAGAGGAAAAACCGTGAAGAAAAATCCTATATCATATATATATTCTATTTTAGAAGCTATATGTCAAGTTTGGTAACTCTAGTTCTTATTATTTACCCAAATTGCCCAAAAAACAGGATATCGATATCGATTTTTATCGATTGCTTGGAAACGGAGTAAGTTATCGATCGACTCGATCTGCACGGAAGCTAGGAGCATCTACATCAAAATTTTAAGTCTCTAGCTCTTATAGGTTCTGAGCTCCTCGCTTTTATACATACGGACGGACCGACAGACAGACGGACATGGCTAGATCGACTCAGCTATTTATGCTGATCAAGAATATATATACTTTATGGGGTCGGAGTTGCTTCCTTCTGCCTGTTACATACATTTGGCTTTCGCATAAATACAATATACCCTTATACCCATTTTTAATGGGTTCAGGGTATAAAAATCTAACAGGCAACTTTTAAGCTGAAAGCCGATTAAATAATAAACAAAGATGTTTTACTCTATTTGTCAGCTAGTCAGATCTAGCAATTTTATAGTTATACATTTCTTTACCCATAAGTTAGAACACTATATTCGTGCATGCTCGATCACGAAATGCCCTGTACCCAAATTTAAAGTAGCCAAACTAGCCCTGCAAAAAACATATCGCCGTTCGGTTCGGCGAGATATATATATATGTATATATAAATATATATGTATATGTATATGTATACATATATTTTACATATATATATATTGCTTTATTATATTATCCAGAAACCATTTAGTTTCAAGCATTAAACTTTCTTTCGGCCAAAAATTGCGTTAAAAGATTACACCAGCTTACAAGTTTTAAAGAGGGACTTATTTAGCAATTCGATTTCCTATTAGTTCTTCACTAAGTGCAGGAACGTTTTTGGTAAGTTTGGTAATTTTATCTTTACAACAAAAAAATTGTGCATACAAGAGCTCTATTTTTTCTTCAGGAAGTTTTCAAATTGTAAGACTAGACTACAAAGAAACAGACAGACAGACAAAAAGTCGGATAAGTATTCAGGAGATTCCTCCGTCTCAGTGTTATGTTGGAAATTTCGCCAAACGTTCAACTCGTGACCAATTAGGCATAATACCTAATGCAATTGTGCGGAAATGGTTAATGTGAAAACCATTATTTTTTAGTTCATTTATATGAAAAGCAATTATAAAAAGCTCAAACAATTTGTTAAACAGTGTTACATATAATACAAACTACAATTATAATACAAAGAGGTTCATAGTTAATTAATTGTTTGTATTTAAAAGGGCTTCGAATGTGTTTTTATCGAAGTGAACGACAAAAGCGTTATAGTCGTAAAAATTTGCGAAAATTGGTCCAACTTATAGAATATTAAATTATTTACAAACACATATTTCTTAGAGCTTGTGGCCATAAATTTGAACAACAATACTAAAATCCGCAAGTGCTCGGATAGAAATTTGTATAAGCCCAGCTATAAAGTCTCTATATCTATATATACATACATTTGCATCTATTAATATAACTTCAAGTATACTTTTATATTATATAGGTGTTGTCCTTTCTGATTATACATTTACCAAATATAGAGCATGACTACTGTGAGAAACAATTTAAAAAACTAAAAATAACTTAGCTCAACCACTAACTGAAACATCAACGGCAACAATAAAAGTGCAACCAAATCAAATTGCACGCACACATACATACATAAGAATAGTTACATACATATGTCAGATAAATATCTGAAATAACTCTAGCAATGATGTATATACACAGGGAAAAATCGTTTAGAGGCAATCAATTTTACTACATTTGGTATTTGTATAAGTACTCTGTATTTGTAATGTAATCAAAATTGTACAGTATGAAGATTAATTGAATTTTTGTAGAAGAAGGCAATCATTTTTCTCTTTTCACAACAATAAACATATTTAAGCGGATATGCATAGTTAAGGGCTAATGAATATTTATGTAACTTGATATGCAGTAAGGCTACCTCAAATCCGACTTACCGGAAATAGCTTTTATAAAGTATAACTGATACGGATACGACTTATCTCTTATCATATTTATATACTAGGGGCATTTACGAGCTTAAACTATTTGAGGAACCCAAAAAAAGAAAAGAACAAGAATGGATGCAACCGACCTTGCTTTACCCTGTTTACAGTGTGATAGAAAGCTAAGAACAAAAAGAGTGTTTATTTTTGCATTCGTGTCTCTTAGAATGTAATCCTAATAAGTGTATTTAAATATTGACTTTGGGAATATTCACTTTTTTGCGATTTGTAGTTGTGCGCGGCGAAATTGACTCTATCTCGAATAATGTAGCCTATATCGAATCTCGCAACTTACACACTGTTTAACAGTCGTGGCAATAATCTAATACAAATAAAATCTTTTCAAGGTTTGACGGACAGACTGAAAATGCTAGTAAATGCCCTGTTTTGTATATAAAAAGTAGACACAAAGAACAAAAAAAAAACTGATTTGAATTCTAGATAAGTATGTATATACAATTGATATATTTGTTGCAACAACACACTTGTAAGGTTGCGTACAAGTTTTGTTGTGAGGTCATAAGAAAATCATTTATTATTTTAATAAAAATTAATAATAGGTTCCATTGTACTTATAACAATCGACTTTTGTATTTTGTTGCTGTTGTCATATTTTACTTATGGCATCGTCTAATATTAGGTTATAGTATCATTATCACCTAGCCATGATTGTTGCTAAAAGTCTAAGATATTTTATAATAAACTTGCCTAAAATAATAGTTTGAATCTAATGCTAGTTAAATCTTCTTATTATCTCGCTAGAAATATTATAATAAAATACTACAGTGGTGTTGGCCATCACCTCAACTCCAGTTTTTAGAGCATATTTATGATATAAGACTCGTGTAGTACGAGAACAGAAATCTATTAAATATTATATTATTTTAATGCTTAGGTTTGTAAGGCTTGTATATAATGTGGAAATATAACTATGTAAATGGGTATATATATATATATGTATATATATATCCATATGTATTTATATATGTATATATATATATATATATATATATATATATATATATTTATATGTATTTTTTTATATTCTTAACTATTGAAAATCGAAAATTTGCTTAACGAACAATTTGTAATTGTATTAACTCTATGCGATTAATCGCAATTGAGTTTAAGTTTACATACCTGAAAAGCAACATGACGCCTTGTATAAATGACTGGAAGTTGTTGTGCCTAGTAATGGAATTTTCCACTGTACCTAGTTTGATATTTCCGAATACCTATGCACGATTTAAATATCGGTAAATAATATAATGATTAATTTGTATTGTTAATAGCAACTATAAATGAAAAAGTTGAACACATAACACCTTTTCACCTAGATATCCTTTGCCTATTTATTATTTTTTTTTTATTATAAATAACTCTGCACTGCTTTTTAAACAGTGCTCTAATACAGGTAGAACTTTCAGATATATGACCCACTGAACACAGAAGCTAAAAAATATTCATGTAGCCACCTATGATCAAGACTTTCAGGTTTAATTAAGTTTCACGTACGAAAAAAGAGTTTTAGATACGAGTACTGGTTATAGCTTATGCAAATATAAATTAAATAATAACTGGACTAAGGATCCTAATATTGCTGATTACAGAAAATACAAATATGTAGGTGATATGTATTTATGGTTTGTCTGTGTATTTTAGGGTGGAGTACATAATTATATTTATATGTCAATACTTGGGTATGAAAATTATTAAAACAAAAATAAAGTGCCTGACTAGCTGTCTCTAATGAAGTTTGTATATAACGAGAAAAGAGGATTGATTTACATATGTTAGGCATACGTATAGATATATGTATAGGTAAAGGTATAGGTATAGGTATAGGTAAAGGTATAGGCATAGGTATGGCCACAGGTATAGGTATAGGTATAGGTATAGGTATTTGGTATTGGTTGTAAAGCCGAATTCTAACGCAACATTAATTGGCACAGTTAAATATTTATAATTATGAAAGCTGACGCAACCTGAACTGCGTTGTTAGCAACTGTTTTATTTTACAACATAAGATTTTATTGAAGTGTATTATACATTTGTATTGATTAAATTTCAAACAAATGTTTGTGAGCAAAACTTTGTAACAATACAAAAATTAACGTGTGTAAGATATCTACCGCGCATTTACAATAGTAAGTCGTAACGATAGCTGTAACTACAATGGCAACAGTTTCATACATACGAAAAACTAAGTTACGTGTTTTATAGAAACACATTTTGAACTGTCACAGCTAATGCATACAATTTATTCTTGGAGATTCGGTTTCTAATACTTTCTACATTTCTGATTTGTCTATTTATTAATTAACGAACGAATCAAACGAGTAACATGTATTATATTATGTGAACATATAACTAAATGATGCTTCAAAACTATCCAAGTCACAAAAGACGGCAAATTACCAATCATAATGCTTTCTCATTTGTGACTTGCTTAATAAACAACTGGTATTGACTGTTTAATTTATATATGTACGTACGATGTCCTCACACGTTGATGTCAAATCGTCACGTGTATGGACACTTGAATTTCTGAATTTAGGCAAACTACATACATTTTTCTAATATGAATGAAGTAATTATGTAGGTATGCTTGTCTGCTTGTGCCATCGTTTATAGACACTAAAGATACACTAAGTAACTTGATTCTTCGTTTACCGGAAGAGCAGCATGATTCCTCCAGAGAACGATTGGAAGTTATTGTGACGATTCAGTTGTGTGTCCGGATCATATTTAATGTTGCCAAAAACCTTTCAGTTTGTGAGATATTATAATTGGTTTATGTTAGACATTTTAAAGCTAATTTCAAATTTCTCTACGCTATAGTTCGAAAAACCACGCTTCATATTTATAATAAATATGTTATTGTTGAGACCGATCGCATTACTTTAAAAAAAAATAGACCGCTATTTTTCGTGTTGCGAAAAAGCAATACAATCGAAGGCCTGAGTACATAATTACATATATTAAATTTGGAAGGGGTCCTTGTCCAGATTTCATTAAACTTAATAAATGTTTTCGTCAACTGGCAAGGTCTAAAAAATGAACTACAACTGGTAAGTATTAACAGAAAAACATTTTAGTAACCTATCCAAAATAAACTTTAAGCACTATATAATCACAGCTAAAAGGAAAATAATTTGGTGATGTTTCATATTTTGAATAATTGAACCCAAGTATTGCCTATTTCAATATTAACACTTATCAGATGTACGGCCTATTGCGCGATAATTCAAAAGGTATTATTATTGCTATTAACACAAATATTGCACTATCTGCGGTTTGCTTCGTTAAAGGTAAGCTATACAAAGAAATATTTAAACATTCAAATTTAAATCATTATAATAATTTGGTCTATCTGCCAAGTGAAATGATGAGTAGATTGTTGTGAAAATTACATGGGCTTTGGCCTCAAAAACTAAATATGTATATGGTGTTTAAAATTATAATCAAACTAGGAATATGTATATCCTATTATAAGTATATTTTAAGGCTATTGTTGTTTAAAACAGCTACAAATCGATCCCAAGTATTATGTTGGCTATATCCCAGACTTGACCATGAACAATCAATTGTGTTATGTGTTATGTTTATGTTAAATTTGCGATCCATTATTTCCCATTTCTGGGATAATCAAAGGTTCAGTTCAGCGCGAACGGAAACTTACCTGCATGCCAATAATGGCGTAAATAAAAAATAGCATTGCAATAAGCAAACAGACATATGGAAGTGCTTTAAAAGATTGTACAAATGTCCACAGGAGAATGCGTATTGTATATCCTTGACGAAGTAATTTTATAAGACGCGCCGCACGAAACAAACGCAGGAAGCCAACGTTGATTGAGTTCGACTGTAAAATATTATTGGTCAAAGGGAGAAAAAGAGAAAAACAGAAAATAAGGAGAGTAGATTAGAGTGATGGTGTATCGTTTTTACCAATGAATTCAGATGTATTCGAAATTGACGCCTTTCAGCTCAGTTCGAATATGATCTCAGGTTGTTTCTCTGCTTTTTGCTTTTTTAATTAAGTTCGTTAGTTCTAAGTAGCAGTTATAGTAGTAGTAGTAGTAGTAGTAGTAGTAGTAGTAGTAGTATAATAGTAATATTAGTAGTAGGTAGTAGTGCAGTAGCAGCAGTAGTAAGTAAGTAGTGGTACTAGTAGCACATAATAAAAGTACATACATTTACATATTTGTATTAAGTTAGTTTTAGTTTGATTAGTAAGTAATGATCGATTCGTTAAATAATTGCAATTTTGATTGGTTAGTAAAATTCGACTCATTTAAAAAAATTTAATTTACCTTTTTTTCTATATATAAAATATAAAATAATTACAATCAAATTTTCATAGTATATACTCTATATAGAGATAATAATAATGAAACACAAGTATTAAATAAATATTCTTTTTAACAAAATGCTAAATAAAAAGTATTTCAAACTAATTGTTTATACATTATTACATTTTTTTTTTCTTTGTATGTTGCTTTTAATCAAAAACTATTGAGAAATTTCGTATCATATTAGGTTCAGGTTTAACTGTTTGGGAGTCTGCTTGTATATTTGTCGGTGTGTATATGTGTGTGTTGACTACCACACCAATACAGCGTAACATGTGCATTTGTATTTTTAAGATGCTGATACTAATTACAAAACAGTTTGAAAATGTGTCAATTATAGGGCCTAGGGGTCTTAATAATTAAAAATCTAAAAAAAATTTGAATTTGATTTTTTTGTACTGTACTAAACTATCAGGGCGAGTTTTTGCAATGATAAAAAAGCATAACGATACAAAAAGTACAACGTACATAAACATTTTTAATTACGAATAAAATTATTTATTCATATTTATCAGTATGTACATTTTCCGTTTGTTAATTTGTACACGTGTACACAAGTACGTTTTTTTGTTTTTTTTTTTTTTTTGTTTTTGTAGTGTAAAAGTAAGTTGGTTATGTAATAGTGTATATCAGTCAAAAAAAATATGTATACGTTTTTGTATGCATTGTGATTTGGCAATCATTGGTTATTAACCGATTCAAGAACTTTGACCAACATATTTTACTTATCAGCTGTTGCATATTAAAAATCATGTGTTTTTGTACATAGCACATACGTACGAATGTAGGAGTCACAGGAACGGTCACTGCAAACGTAACCGTGACTGTGACACACATACATTAGTAAATGAGTGCTTGGCAACGACTGACTTGGAGACGCATACCGCCTCGACGTGGCCTCTATATAAGTAAGTAGATTAAATAAATAGGTTAGATATGTTATAAGGTACAATTATCTCTGAATAAATATGTACATATGTATGTATGCATGTATATTACAACAATGCACTGTGTGCACTGCTATTGCTATTGTGAAGCATTAAGATACTAAATGTCACACTGAGACCATCTGTATCTGTACAAATCTCATACATTGCAGGAGGGTATATTGCAGAGTATTCCATTTGGTATGCCTATTGGATGGGAAACTGGGGTTGATTCACTTGATCCACTAGCAGGATATAGGATATAAGCAGTAACGATAAGATTGTTATGTAAAGAAAAGCATTATGAAACTTGTTATTTGAGCCAAGTCCATATCAACAATGGCATGGCAATGGCAATGGGGTAAGAGTACTACGAAAAATTAAAAGGGATATGGTGTACTTTGGACTAGAAACTTATTTAATGAGTAGCTAAATACATATATGTAAATATGTATTTTTGAAAATCAAGACAATTGAATCTACTACGGAAGAAAACATCAACGATGCGATGTGAATATAGAAAAGGATATATGGTAAACGTTTAGCTAAATTGCTAAAAAAAATTTATTTGTGGGTTCTTGTAAAGTTTTATAATTAATAAAAAAAAAAGAACTGTTCTTGTTTTGGTTTGTTTACTTACATCCTGTAGAATAATCAGAAACCATGTTCAATTGAAACATAGATTCGGTTTTTTTAAATTAATGAACACACAACTCATATACCGGATTGTCACCGAAGTTTTTGCCAAAAATGTTGTTGGTTTTTAGAAATACCAAACGGCAAGTTAATTGCATGGATTTAAAACAGCAGTTGTATTAAGTTGCATTGAGTTCGAATCGACAGCAGCCAAAGGATGAATTGCAAAGTTTTCAACGATAATGAAATGTGTGATTGTAGCAGTGCAGTTGAGCGTTGGTTATTTTTTTTTTCGTTTTAGATATTTTTGTTAATTTGTTTTTGTTTTTATTATTATTTAATTATAGTATTTATTTGCAATAACGAGTGCGTATTAGTTGTTTTTAAATCGAATTGCGGTTTTCATACGACGTTGGCGGCGTTATAGGTAGTCGATTATGTTTTTTTTTTTTTTTTTTTTTTTATTAGAAAAAACAAAGAAATTAATAAAGTAGATTGAAAATTATTAGTACTAATTTACTTTCTTGCAATATGCAAATATAAATCAATGAAAATATGTGATCAGCATTATGTGTAAGTAAATTGGAATGCACATATTTTACTGAATCTTTTATCACGCTGCATTTAAACTGCTCTATAAAACCTTGAAGTTTTAAAGCCACTTATGTGTACTAATATGTATGAGTATGGTAGTGGTATTTATAATTTGTATTACACCTTGCTTGTACATACGTTAGTATGAGCATACCGTACTATCAATTTATCGGTTTTGCATTAAGTTACCGGCAATCTAATGACAATAGCAAAACAACATAAACTTTTAAGAATTTTTGATGGTACCGAAGGATGTTATTATTTTGGGTTCATACCTTACTAACCTGAAGAGAACGTCAAAAAATATACAAATCTCAAATACGGATCATATGAACAAAGCAGTTATACAGCGTAAGCCTAACGGTACTGTATATCTTTCAATAAAGTACATTGTACATTCAGAAAGAAGTTTTATTTCGCGGCATGCATCTTAACAATCTAAACAACTTTAAAAAGCGTTTGTGTTATTAATAAATATTATACTATTAAAGATATTATGAGGGATACAAACCAACTCGATTTCGGCGTTTGTTTTCTGATTAGACTGCGATAAGCATATGAGAACAGCATTGCAATATACACAAACAATATTTAAAGGCTTCTTGAGAAAAGTATGGTTTTGAAGGAGTCTAAGATATCTTAAGAATATGACAGAGAAAATCTACTGCAGTATCTAAAGAAGTTGTACGTCGTTAAAGACCTGTAGTGAAAAGGGATAGTAAAAACAGAATAGTCGAGGCTCCCAAGTAGGTTAAATTGAATGGGCCAAAGTATTTGCCCTGTGCTATAAACAAGGCACTCAAGAAATCCATATGGAATTTACATCATGCGGAAAAGTTGATAGGTATGTATATACAGTTAAAAGAGTATACATAAGAATATTTTTGAAAACTTTGAGTGCTTAACTGAAGTCGTTTTTAGTACCTTTAGTTCTTTTGGTGGTTCTGATATTGACTTGCCGACCACTATGTACTATTACTTACATTCACCACTGGTCAGCTTAATAATTCCACTTACACAAATAAGAAATTAATTATTTTGTATTCAAGAAACGAATAAATTGTTTTTGTGGACCGACAGTCTTCTATATTTAAATTATAGCTTGGAATTGTTTGTCTGTGAAATCAAATTTTTCAGTGCTTTAAATCGAGCTCAAAAGTTGTTATTTTGTAAGTTTCTAAGTATAAGCTTTTCTGGTTAAATTATAAAAACAATTTGATTGATCAGTTATTCAAATACATGCGCAAAAAATGGGTAAAATTGACGCGAAATATAACAACAGACGCAGAACTCCACATTTTTGAGGAAATCAGAACTCACAACTAAACTCAGCTTTAATTATGTTGCTTCGGCTTTCACGTTTGCGTTTTCATGAATTCCTTTCTAGGTGCTTCTGTTTTCGCAATTTTTTTCATCGATATGTAACGTGATTTCAAAATCGATTATTGTGTGGTTCTCATTGGTTCTGAGATCGGTGCGTTTAATTATACTTTGCCTGTTACATATAAATTGCATAAGAATATTGTATCCTTTTTACGCATTTTTAATGAGTACAGGGGAGAAATAAATGTCCGTTTTGAAAACGGTTAAGCTTGAGGATTGCGAATACAGGATCACCTAATCCTACGTTTTAAAAACAGAATCGGACGAGACAAAAGTGAACACAGGAGCCCTGCTGATTATACATATATTGTGTTTTCATTTATATATCTGTGCAGCTGAGAAAATTGAAGCTGAAGAATTAAAGCTAGGCATAGAAATTCGTTAATATCCTCGTACACTTCGATACGCGAATACTGCAAAAATCGATATCTACGACAGTTTTGGTGCTAGATATGGACTCCCCTAAATATCGGTTTACAGTTTCAATGCTAGATATTTGCGATATCAGTATTATAGTTTGATTTAAACGGTACCTACTCTGCAAACCCGACTGCAAAGTTCTTAGTAGTTTTTTTTTTTGAACTGTTCGAAAAACTGAAAATTACAGATACGAGTATTCGCAACTTCGGTATTCTGGCAGTTAAATACTCATGCAGTCACAAATCTACATAAAGGATATATAAATCGGAATTAGGTTGAGAATTCCTTTACGACAGCTTTAACTTATCGTCATTTCTTAAAATATCAAAGCGTATTTTCTGTCAAATTATTCCCAAAAATTTGGATTTGATGAGAGTTTTGCTGAGAATCTTTAAAATTAATTAGGTTTTGAGAACACAAGCTTGATACTTTCAGCTCTTGTTCTCGTGACAACATTGGGCATACTATTTGACATAATAAAACTTAGACTTTTTCCAAGTAAGAACAAAATAATGGCTCTAATAAACTCACGTAAGCTCTAACACAATTCATGGCTATTATACTCAGCATGTCATCCATTTCGTGTCATGCTTAGTTTGAAAAATATTTTATTGTTATTTATTGTGAGTTTTAAAATAAGAATATACAAAACACGCCGTTATTTCAATAGAAATTTTTTCAAATTTTCAGATTTTCGATTTTCAGACTATTTTCACACTTGTTTTCAAAAAAAAAGACTCAAAAGTCTTAAACAGTTTAAAACAAATTTAATGTTGGCTTGAGATAAATAGAAAAAGAGTTCCCGTTGGATACCAATTTTCAATATAAATTAGCGAAAAGACCGATGGGTCCCAAAAACAAATTTGTTTTATGTAAATCTAGCTCTCTAGACCCAAAACTAAGTTGCGCCCATTTCGTAACTTAATTACAATATTGTCTGCTAGGGCACGCAAATAAAGGAAAAAAATGCAACACTTAATAAAAACGTGTGTAGAAATTGTATGTGTATATATAAGATCAAAAATATAAGATCTAATAAGCTTATTAGGTAAGTGAAAGGTGCTTAGCAGTAAAAGCGAAATCTAAAATCATTGATTCGAACACATAAGATTTTGAAAAATGCAATTCTGTGTAGATTGTGTTTCGTACTTACATCGTGCTGTTGGTGTTGAAATTTGTTGTACATGTCGATGTAGTTGTAGATGATATATATGTATGCATATGTATGTGCAACATGTGTATTGGATAACACATTCAATTGAAGCACATACACATGCAAAGTTGTTGAATGACAACATGTTTGTAATACAATTCAATTTGTTAATTGGTTCGTTTCATAATTAATTTGGTGGCAGTTTTGTTTTGTTTTTGTTTTTTTTTTTTTTTTTGTTTGTTTTTTTTTATATAATTATAATTTTGTTTGGTGAATTTGTTTTTAATACAAGTTGTGATTGTGATGAGCGAGTTAGTTGCATATTCATTGCATTTAGAATTGGCATTGGTGTTGGTTTTGAAATTACATAGTACAAGTGTGGGTGTTTTTTTTTTTGTTTTTGTTTTTTTTTTTCATTATTTTATTATTAATTTCGTGTTGGGCAGCGATAACGTGATGTTTCGTTTCCCGATGGCCAAATTTGGTGGGAATATTCATTAATAGAAGACATTTGTATCAAAGTATTTGATGTTTACATATATACATATGTAGTCGCATATATGCATTTACGTTACATATATATAAATTCGAATACATGTAAATATTTGCACGTGTTACATAATTCATACATTAATATACGTGAAGGGTGTAAATTTTGGATTGCGTGAGTGTTTTATTTGATTATTTTGCATTCATCGTTTTTTGTTTGTTTCGGATTTGGTTTTCCCGATTTTGAGACCACATTTCGTATTTGGTATTCGTTTTCGTACACAAATAAATATGAAAAAGGAAATCAAAAAGAAATATGATTATTAATTTCTGTATTTCGTGGGAGTTTCAAAAAGAAATATTATTTTTTATGTAAAATCTCATGGAAGTAAAATGTTCATTTGTCAATAACAATTTCTTGTGTAGCTGTATTCATTAGCGGTTTAAATATCAACAGCAGTGTCATATGTATATTGCCCTTGAAAACACACACTAAGATAACATTAAAAATAACCTGAATGTTTTCTAACATACTCGTCTCGTATTACTTCTGTGGAGTCCTCAAACCCAATTTTTTTTGTTCCCACACGATTTAATTTTTTTTAGTATTATTATTTACGTTAGCATTATAGCAAAAATCCACGAACAAGTCCCACTTATCCCCGCTGAGTCCACTAAAAAGTATAGACTCTTAATACTGAAGTTATTGATTTTCCATGATAAATAACCAAAGGTCATGTATACAGTAATATTTATAATTTAAATATGCTAATTGTTTCCAAGACATATGCTTTTATATCAATGTTTCAAATCATTTTTCTTTAATATAAGATAAGTCATTGACTTAGATTTCCTATGAACATACAAATAGCAAATTTCGAAAAATCAATTTGGATGTGTAAAGTACTCATTAATAATTTCCGTCCGTAAAAGTAGAGCTTTAACACCTTTAATCGGTTATCTTGACATTAAATCCACATTTCTCGAGTTTAAATACATATGCACGTATGTTCACATAAGTATGTGTACGTGGGTTTAAATATACATATGTGTACGTGTATATGTTTTCATATATGTGGTAAGTATTAATATAAATGTGTTGTTGTTATTGTACGGGTAGGAGTATCTTGGCAAAAAAAAATACTTTGTTTTTAAATGGATTATATTGTTTGTTTGTCTTGCATAACGGCCTACATAAATCGAACACAACAATAATATGTATGCTCAAAGTTAGCTATTGCAAACAGCATATAATTACCCCGAATTCCATCCAGAGTGCATCCACAATGCTGCCTAATACAGTAATAAGATCAAAAATGTTCCACGGATCCTTGAAAAAGTTCTATAAAACAAATGGTTACATATTATTTAAGGTTTAATTGTTTGTGTTATATCATTTTATTTCTCAACTGCATTATTTTGGGTTTGTTTGCTTTTGTTGTTTTTTTCTTTAGTTTTGAATCAATATGCAAAATACAATTTCATACGCTGAAATTTACAATGTTACATTCTGATAATTGTTATTCACTTAAATTAACACAAAGGTCCTTTTATTAATTTACTCAGAGTTTGCTAAAACACTATATAAGTTTTCATCAACATATAATGCTATAATCATTTAATTTTAATTAAAATAACGAAATTAACAAACTATTCCAAACAAACTAGTTTTGTCATCATTATAAGTACATTTAACACGAGCACATATGAAAGACCCATTTTACATTAATACCTACCGTACATCCAAATGCTACTACTTTAAGTATTGTCTCCATTAAGAAGAACAAGGTGAATACCAGGTTCATATAAGTCAGTATATCACTGTGGGTGGGCGGTGCATCATGAAACTATAAAATGAGAACACGAAGACATTTGGGATCGAACCGAAGTTTGTTTTAGATGAATTATTACATTTAACTAACATGAAAATTAAAGGCACATCGTATCCATTTATAAATAGATACGTAGTTCTTAGCCCAACCTTTAAGTTAAAAAAAAAAAAAAGTACATGCCATATATGTTTGATACAAATAAAAAATAAATTATACAAATGGACCAACATTATTTCATACATAATAAATATATACACTGATATCTATCTATCTATATGTTGTGATAGTTTTGGCGACCTTTCCATATTTAAATCTCTCTCTGTACATAAAAAAGTGTTCTATCTGAGTTATTGGTGATCAACGCGCAAGCCGTAGGATCAAAAGTGAGTACCAAAATTTTCAAAATTTGAACTTGGGTGGATGAGTGAGCAAACTTTGGATAGTAAGTTGGTGGATTAAATCCACTTAAAGACATAATTGAAATATATTGTCAGGCGAAAAGAATGACTTTCTTAGACACACCAAAGATTAAATATCCTTGTAGGCTTACGGTTTTACAAATATGTGAGGAGAGTCGAGAGGCTTGCAGTATAAGTTTAAACCGATCGGATGAAACTTAAAGCTTCGACCAAACAATAATTGACCCGCAATAAGCACCGTAAAGGCTTGCTTTTCCGAAAAGTGTGAATTAGGTCACAAATGAGTTTTCAAAAAGTTCTTTGGATCTTTGAAGCTTAAATTCGATCGGACAACACTTAAAAGACGGTATAACCTTAGACCTAGGAGGGGTGGAGCGAAAAATGTAAAACCCATCTTAAATAAATTTTCATAAACTAACTTTGAAATAAATTTAATCCCGAAACTTAACCCGTCAAATCCTTGACTCCCATATCGACCGAGTAGTGAATTTTCTGAAAAGTTTCAACCCCCCCTCGAACATACACACAAAGGTTTTTGAAAATGAGTTCGAGGCCGATCGGATGGTTAAAAAAAAGACGCATGTAACCGTTTCCACAATTTTCCCACACTTAAGGATTGCATTTTCCAAACCCTGTCTAATTACGGTTAACACTTCAGCTTCCCAGCTCAAGGGCTGTGCGTTGATCTCCAAACAATCAGTCAGTCAGCAAGAATAAGCAGTTTTATATGTATATAGAGACTCCAAATGTCCCAAGCGACATTGAAAATCAAACTCATGATTTAAAAATAATACAAATAATTAAATAAAATGATATAAGCTAACAGAACAATGCCTTTTCATGAAATGTAAACTACATTTTTAGTCCACTAGATGAAACACTGTGCGCGACATATCAATAAAAAATCTCAAAGTATAAACTGTCAAATCGTTAGGCGTGGATTATCAACATGAGAGGTATTAAAAGCGAAAACATGACATTGCCGTTGACTAAGACGAATAGGTTAATAGTTGCTGACAATTTTTCGTATTACAGTTTAATTAAATATGAACATATGTCCGTACATAATTATATATATAGCTAGCTATCTGACAGCTAAATTGTTAATATAATATTTTTATTATTTCACTTTGTACTATCCGCTAAATTAAAATAAAAATGGTCCTAGGTAGTGATGTAAAAAAACAGCGATTTATCAAAGATCACTAAGCCCGATTTTTCATAATAAGCCTCGATGTATTTATTTTCAACATCTCGATATACATCGATGGACTAAACAAAAAAGATACATTGATACATTCCCATATAAAACTATGATGATTGGAATAAGTAAAAATAAAGCTGGCCAAGAAAGAATGATCATAATCAGATCGCCGAAGATTAAATACCTTTGTACACATATTGCTTACAACTATTTAGATATGTGGAAGAATCGTTAAGCTCGTAGCTGTTGAGTTCCGTAAAGATTGCTTAAGAAAGAAAAAATTGTCCCTAGCGAAAACACATTGAGCGATTCTTCCTATAGAGCTGTATAGGTTGATAGTGGTTAGGAATGTAGAAATATAATTGATTGTGACGAATATGACTTCTGTTTATGCATTACTTAATTCATTACAAAATAATAATATCTCTCTACAAGGGTAAACTAATGATGAACTGATATTGACTTTTAATGCTGATTTAATGGTATAGCATTTATTAACAATTGGGAAATTAGTAGGAAACAATCGAGGTGACAAAGCTGTATATTTCTATACATGAAAGTTAAGAATCGATGACCGATTTTCTCAGTTTTACATCACTGTTTTAAAGACGATTTGTATGAAAATTAAGAATAATAAAAATGGAAATGTTACAACTTTCTATCAATTTAAGTTTGGTGAACTTTTGATCTTAATTAATAATGATTAGTCGACTCGTGGTCCAAGTAGGACCCCTAATTAACACTTTGTGTGAAAATCTGCTAGATTTGAAAAGAAACATTGATACATTGCTGTTTTGTTTATAAAAAAAAAGAAGTTGTGTTTGGGCCTTTTTATTTGAAATTCTGTGTATTGAAGCGTACTTTCGAGACATATTTACAAGCACACAGAGAAATAGATACATGCGTTAAAGTTGGTAATGTGAGCATATGTAGTTTGAAAAACCTTACCTTGACATGACCTTAAAAAGCTCTGCCTTTAAACATACATACAAATATTACCAAATGATAATGTGACATTGTATATTTCAGCATACTTAGAACGGACTTAAATAGTCTGTACATTGGATCTAGCTGATTTAAAGATCGAAATGCTAACCGATAACACTTACAGTATTTTATTTTGTACAATCTTAAACTTACCTTGACACCGAATCCAATTATCTTAAGAACAGTTTCAACACTGAACATGCCTGTGAATCCCATGTTGATGTATTTGAGTGATTTTTCATACATCTCACTTTGATTATGATACTGTTAAGATTGTTGTTTATGATTAGTTTGTTTCTCTCATTTCAAAACATCACAGACATTGTCTGTTAGCCAAAAGTAGGATTTGCGCAAATGGTCCGCAATTATGTACGATTACAGAGGTGTGTATTTGAACAACGCATTTCAATTATCCCAAAAATAATGTAATAAAAAAGACTTCAAATATTACCGCCATAAATACGACGTTCCTAAATCAACAATAATTCCTTTTCGCATTCGCTATTTATATTGTTTCTCATCGACGAATCATGCGACATAGAAAATTCGATATACATACCCTCGTATGTTACGTGTTTGTAGAAAAATTGAAGTATCCCCATAAAAAAGAAAATAAAAAATAAAACTCCATGCCAGTTTGCATAAGGACAAACTTAAATTTTTAATGGCTTATATACAATTCACAACATCGATTTATACATTTTTAAGATTGATTATAATATATTATTTGTTGCATATTGATACCAAATTTAGTACATTATTTTTAATGTGTATAAGCCAAATAAAATGGAGAGATTCATTAAAACATTTTGATTGACAGTGAACTACTAAATTTGAATAGTGGTTAACTAATAAATTGTACAATAAATATTTGTGGGTATTTTTAAACTTAGCGGGTATGTAAAAATAGTACATTTAAAAAAAAAAAGTGTCAACTTTATAAAATTCTTACAGTTGCTAAATACGGGGGCTAACTGATAACTTTTCGGTTTCAATATTTTTCAAACTAATTTCCCATTTTATTGTCTGAACCCCTTGAAAATGGGTAAAAAACGTTATAATTTTGTATGAACGCGTCATTCTCGGAAACTATAAAAGCTAAGGACTTGAAATTCTCGCATATCATATGCACAAAGAGTTTATCATTTGTTGTCCCACTTCCACAATATCCATAAAATCAGTTGTGAGTCTTGTTTTGTATGAATAACTTTAAAAAAAATTTCAAAAAATATATGTAGATTATAAATATTCGCGAATAAAAAGCGTCTTATAATCTAAAAGCAGTATTATTTGTGAAGGGAACTCAGCGCGGAGTTCAGAGTAATTTTCAGTCATTTACTTTCGACTATAACAGTCCTATTTCTACTGAAAAATGTTCATCTCCCAGCAGGCACTCCCGACTAGAGCAATATTACTTGTTTTCATCAGCTTTTTGTAAGCTGCCCTGATTATTTCGGTTGTTTTCTTTATGAAAAAAATTGTATGTTTTCAAAAGTGGGAATGCTTTTAGTTGCAATATATAATATATATTCAAATACATTAAGTAATAATAGAGATTTTCTGTACGAATTAATGTTAGGAAAATCACTGAAACCGTAGACTCAGAAGGCCCTCGTATATAGTTTTTTCTAATCATTGGCCCAAATTAAAATGCGTTTGTTTGTTTTCAAATTAGTAGTAATTACATGTGAATGGGAACACAAATACGGAAACTTACCTTCATCATCAATAGCAGTGTATTGAAAACAATCAGCATCATTATAAAGTATTCGAATGGGGTAGAGACAACAATGCGCCACACTTTGTACTTAAAAGTATTCCGATTTTTTGGCATATAACGTTCAAGAGGTCGAGCTCCAATTGTAAAATCAATACAAGATTTCTGTGAAAAAAGAAAAGAATTTTTATATTATACCATATCAACAAAAACAGTGTGCACTGTGATTTTCATATCCTGTAGCCATTGAAATAGGTAAAACGGGTGGTTTTGTCAATATCTTCATGTTGTTGGCAGAAAAAAACATCTCGACCTAATATATATTCTTGATCTGCACGACGATTTTAGTCTAGTCTAAGTCGATCTTGCCATGTTTGTCTGTATAAACGCGTCGATCTAAGATGCTTATCCGAGCTAGCAACTTTATATTTGAAATATTAATTCTGGTATATAGTACGCGGAATGTGTTTATCTCTTTTGCAAAGAGCTATGACTTATTGGAATCACAGATAAATTGAAATCGTGTTTTCAGAGGTTTGTGCAGACATTTAAATGCCGTACATAAGCGCACAATTGGCGCTTAGAGGTTCTTTAAAAATATAGAAAAATCGACATCAACCTATGACAAGGGTTTAATTATTTTTTTCGTATGTATGCATACAAGATAGTAAAAATGTTTTTTCCGGCGGATTTGCTGGGTTAAATGTATCTCATATGCGTAGATTCTCGACTCGTGGGAAGCTTCGATGCAGAGAAAGTCCGATACAAAGTGTCAAATAGCTTAGAATAGCAGAAGAAATATAAAGTTCATTTTAAAGTTCGTCTTAATTAAAGTTGTCTACGTGTGAAAGCTGGGTAAAAGCCTATATCTAAAATTTAACGCACAAAACTTGCCACGGCAAGGCCGGGAAACACCCGCTGGTTAATTTATAATTGAATATAATACCAATCATAATTCTACGTTTAGCTTAAGAGATGAGATACGTTTTTGGGAGTCTAGTGGAATAGGATATCAGTTTAATCCAAGAAGGGTAGTAAACAGCAATTGTTTCGGCACGGCTTCAATTCTTTTGAAGTGAATATTACAGCGAATATGATAGGAGAGAAAATGTAGAAATAATGATTTTTGATTGGACCATCGCTTGATGAAACTTGGAAAAGTCCTGGCTTTCTAAGCTGTGGCCAAAATGCGAGAGTCTATTTATGGTGTATGATCATTATCTTTTAGATTAAAAAGGCTAACTCGACACTGAAAGGCAACAATGTCAGCTTGTCATAGGTGAGTGAAAGCAATATACATATGCGCGAATAAACTTTACCACACTATAGGAAATGTATTCTTGAATAACTTGAGCGCTTCTTTCATCGTAATCCAAATATTTTGGTGGAGTTTATCCAAAAAATGAAATGGTAAGCTGACACCAAATTGTGTTTATTAAGCTTTAATTGTCATTCTATACCACAGAGATAGACAACTCTGTAAGCCATGCCGCCTTGTAACTACACTTAAAATGCATAGTCCTTTGCTAGGTAGAGATCGGAGGGTACTGATTCCAGCGGATAATAAAACAAATGAATCGACTGTTGGCTGTTGATGCTAATCAAGAATGTATTAATAGGTTTACGCCTTGAATGCTGCATGCTATACACATATATTTTATATTTTACCCTGTTTTACCTCTTAGCGATGGGAGCAGGGTATACAAATTAGATAGATAAGTCTTGACGCTAGTGAGTTTTACATTTTTCTGTCTAATTTAAATGGTAATTTAAAAGCTATTATGTAAATGCATGCCAATCAAAACGAGATTAACTAAAAAAGGATAATTTTGCATTTCTGTGCAATTGTTTTATCAATTCCGGGTGTTAGTGCCGGTGCCTCACTATATTTGAAATAATAATTGATTCCTCACTATATTTGAAATAATATTTGTTCAATTTTCAATTCTCTTCAGCCGATTAATAACCAAAATTCAGTTCAACTCGTTATGTATAAGGCCGCCTTAATGAAAGATATTGCTGGGTTAATGACATACTTACAGTATTTATTATTGTGTATTCAGCAACGAACTACATAGTTTGGCGAAAATAGCGACTTGACGATACCAATCGTTAAATATTCAACACTGAATATTTAAGGACTATCGTGGGTATTATAAAAAATCTCTACTTTCCGGTAAATGTTCACTCTTTATATTAATGGGTTTCTAATAATGTTTATATACAGGGTCCGATCGATACATTAACCTATATATGTTCTAAGGCCTATGGCACGATTAATTGATGTATTTACATCTGGAGATTAAAATTAGTTGATCAAATTTTTAAGAACTTTTTTGGGAAGTAACAAAAGCAATACACAAAAAAAAAAAAAACGCTAAATATATACACATACAATCATTTTTATTGTTCTGTATTATTCTGAGGCAATACGACCATAGGGCTTCACCCTTAACAGAACGCACATACGAACATTGTCTTTCTTTTTTAAATTCTAATAATGACAGGAGCCTAAGGGCTTTTTTCTTTTTAAATAATATACATGAATAGTACTACTAAGTAAGTAAGTTTGATACTATTGTCGAATCATAAACCACTTCGAACATTTTTATGGGCCGATTGTCAAATTATGCGGCAAGCAACACGAACCAACTTTCAAATTCTCACGTCCAATGCTTGCTGGGCCCCAAATGGCTTATCCTTGCAATTTCGAAAGTTTAATTTAATTATTGCACGCAGCTTTTATTAAGCAGTAAATTGACAAAATAAGTCTCGTACAACAGGACATATTGCGTACGTTTATGCAAGTAATGCCAAGTCGCATTTATTGCAGAGACGGACAAGATAAATGTTAGCCCTATGTAGACCAAATGTAAATATGGTCAATAACGACACTCAAGGCGTCAGTCTAATCGTTAGTGGTGGCAAATATGCTATATGTTTTAATGGAAGGTACATACAGGAACGATTACGAGTACGTGTACAGGTACATATAGCTGAACCTGAGCTAATAACGTTTGCGCAAACGCATTTTCCGTACAGTGATTGATTGTATTGTTTGGCTAGCATACATAAGTAACTATTTAATAGAGGTATATACATGTATGGGTATCGTTGTATGTGTGTACATTTACGTGCAGATACATAGATAATTGTTAATTTTACGACTATCAATTTTACGAGTAAGTACATTACACATGAAACACACATCAAACACAAAGTCATTTTTGAATTCGTTTTTAAAATTTTGTATTTTTTGATTTGCTGGCTCACCTGATTTTTGTCAATTTCACCGTCTTGTAATTCAGCTTCGCCTTGCTCTTGAAATGTAATAATTATCAAGGCGACGAATATGTTGACGAAGAAGAATGGAAATACAATAAAATATACTATATAAAAGATGGACATTTCGATCCGGAAATTTTGGATTGGACCCCTATCTTCATAAGTGGCAGCCATTGAGTGTTGCAAGACCCTATGTGATGATTACCATTAGCAACATTTAAGTGAAGATAGCACAAAACAAAAAATAAAAACAAAGTACAATTGAATTATTCACCAGTAATATTTGCACTTTGTTGCATATTATATATACTATAGTATTAGTATAACTTAAACGCTACGAGCAAATAGCTTACTGTGGCCATCCTTCGCCGGTTTGTACAGCAAAAAGCGTCAACATGGCTGCGGCGACATTATCGTAATGGAAGCTGCGGGGCTTCCACACTCGCATCTCCTGTTTGGGCAGCAACTCGTCTTCCTCGTATTTAAAATACGAGCCCCTTCAGGTGGTGGTGATGGTTGCATATTATATGTTAATGTTTGGTTTATGATGTGTTCGCAATTAAATTTTTTAAAACGTTGTGAAATAATAAGTAATTGGATTAATTACTTAATTAAAGTTGTAAAAAGCAAGTTTCGTACAATTAAAAACACTACAGAAACAAAATATTCAAAGTACATTATGATATGAATAACATTTAACGAAAATTTAATTCGAATAACATTCATTTTGCTTTCCAAATATGTATGTGGAAAATTCTATGATGTTTTGTAAAAAGTTTGAAAACATGATAATACCAAAATTTATATGTGGGACTATTTGCACAAAGAAATCTAATGAATATACATCAATCAATCAATCAATCAATCAATCATTGGGTCAGGTGGTATCAGTAAATATTGCACAACAAAAATTAAAGCAGAATATTATGTATATATGTAGGCTTGTTTTCCTTTTATGGATAAATATGCGATTTGTGTGTCTGCATTTGTTTTTGTACCAGTATTTAAATTTGTCTAGCTGTAACCCAGAACAATCCAAATCAACACTGTGCAATCAGAAGGCGTACAAATAAAAGAAATGTTCGAAAACTTAATACATCTACAGTTACATCCAGTAACTCCGCTTAACCCATAGTTAAGTTAGCAAAGCTGTAAGTCTGTAAGTTACTTCATGTTGCATAAACCATTAAACCAAGACCTACATACGTAATATAATGCGGTGCATTTAAGTCTTTATGCGAAAGAGTGAAGCCGAGTCGATTTTTAATTGGTAGTGCACAACGTATACGTAAGTCGCTGGTTGTTTGTTCGGCGATGTGTAACAAGGCAGCTGCGCTTATGATGTGGAGTAATCTACTCAGTTTGGGATAATCAACGTGATTGCAAAGGTAATTGATCTGGCGACTGTATTGTACTTATTGTCATGAGTATGTCTTCAAAATAATAAGCATAGCCGTACACAGTCGTATGTATGTATGAGCACAATGTACGTCTAGAAATGTTAGTATCTGTTTAATTCTGTATAATTTTCATGTCAATTAGGTTTGAGCGGCCTTTGCATAAAACAAACTGATAGTCATCCTGTGTTTTTAATTTTGTTTACACTTCTCAATTGTTTGTTTTCCACACTTAACGGAGGCTTTAACATTTGTTTTGTTTTGTCCTTGTATGCTCTTGTTATAGAAGGGATCGTTACACTCACGTTACGTGCAACGGCTCATGGAGTCCGATTTTTTATTTGTTGCCAATGTATATTTGAATAAACCTATCTTCTATTGAAACTGATTTGAATCTTCTTTGTACATATTATAAGTTGTTAATTCTATTTAAAGAAATTATAGAATGTATGTATTAACTATAAATAGACATTACCATATTTGAAAATTGAGAGATAACTTGTAAGGTGAAATAGGAGGAAATTTAGGACACTAGTCTCAAACATGACATTTAGGACATGATGTACTACTCATTTAAGCAAAAGATCTACTTTTAATACGATTAGTTATTCTATTGCGTGTACGCGAATACAGACTTATTAAGAAATCTTCTGGTAGTAATATGGACTCTTTGGTATTGCAAATACCCAATTGTAAAGAAATAAAACGATTATTTACATGCTAAACGCGATCGACAGCAGATTCTTGGATTCAATGGAATTTCAGTTGAGTCAAATTGGCTGTTTTTCGACATTGATTTTTGATTTGGTGTAGAAGGCAACACATATAAAAATACATTGATCGACTTAATAGACTGACTATAAATTAAATAGAATAAAACTAGAAAGGTCTTAGGTGGCAATTGTAGTTTTGCATTTCAGTTCTTTTCTATGAATATATACACAGACACTGATATTGTTGTTGAGTTTTGTTTTCTATTTGTATTTCGCTCGTAATTTTATATTTATTAATTTAAAAATCAGTTGTTTGTTATGGTTGGTTTACTTGTTAATAATTTCGTTTTTGGCCCTTTTACTCGCATGAATGTTCAACACAATTCAGGCAAGAAAAACTGGGCGAGAAACTGTAAAATGCTACTCTTACATTCTGTAAAATCAGTGCACCTTTTTTGTCTTCTTAGAAAAGAAAAAAGATACAAGCAAACAACAAACACATAAGAAATTAAATAATATACAATTGAAAAAAAGTATATTGGAGACAAAAACATAAAAAACGTATGTTATCTGTTTTTCGCAATTGCAATGATTCACCATGTATACATATATACTTAAATATGTCGAATATTTTAAGCATACGTACATACTTATTTCAAAATATATGTACACACAGTGTCATGCAAACGACTAATTTATAACTCTCAAGAGTGCTGGATATCTTGATCAATAATAAAAATTCATGAGGTTGAATCATGAACAAAATTTCGTTCCCTTGCCTTAACAATTACTAAATATTGCACCTCACTCTCCCTATGATCTCAACTTTAGAAATGCGATTATCATAGGTACATACATATATATATAATTGTATATATACATATATATATACATACATATGTTGGAAAACATTGTGAAGGACGAGAAGAACGATGAGCCTTAGCTTTGGATAGGACTGCAATTCGAATGGTCATTTAGAATTGGTGTAAACATTTATAGGAACCAAACGTGGATAATGTGGTATAATTGTGTATATAAGCAAGTACAAAGGTTATACATACATAGAAAAGGTACTAGGTACTAACTACGTAGTACTAGTCACACCTCAAATGAGGTTACACACATACACACACAAGAAATGCAATTAGTTTCTTCATTCAGTTTATAACACTATATAAATTGTACATCTGTTCGATCTTTAAGAGTTTCCTGAGGTGCTGATAAGTAGGCTTATCATATAGCACATTGTGTTGTTATTTAAAAGCAAAGCATGTACACAAAAATCTATTAATGTTTGTATTTAAAAGCTTTGTAGGCACATTGTAACAAATTAAGGATAGGAGCACACAGACATGAACTGTTTATTTAAATATGTTTATATATATTTATGCTAATCAATCAATTAAAAATATATACACATATATATATATATATATGTATATATATATACACACATGTATGTACATTCATATACATTCATATTATATATTTAAAGAGAGAAACGGATATATAATTACAAAAGAGGGAGAGAGAGAGAGAGAGAGAGAGCAATAGTGATTGATAGAGTAGAAGATCTATATATATGTAAGACCACACAGAATGTATGTGTAACGCGACTAAGAGGATAAATTATTATTGCGAAGTCTATGAAATGATAAGCAAAAAACTATTAAAACTGAACAGAAAATTTTGCACAAATAATGTCGGTTTATGGTATACGAAACATATAAGAAAAATTAGAACAGCAAAAATATCAATCTTGAATACAAATTTTACTTACTGGCACTCTTCGGAAGTATGTTTACTTTCGTCCGTACAATAAAAAAATTTTCCATTGAACAATTGTACACCAATAACAGAAAATATAAATTGAAACAATATGTACACGATTAGAATGTTAACAACATTTTTTAATGAATTCACGACGCAATCGAAGACGGCTTTTAATTTTGGAACACGTTTAATGGTCTTCAATGGACGCAATACTCGCAAGACACGAAGCGATTTTATAGTTGACAAATTTTGTCCAGCGCTGCTACCGCTCATATCGAAACCGAAACTAACAGCAGCGCATATAACGACCACAGCATCCATAATATTCCAGAATTCTCTTAAATAGCTGCCAGGATGTAGTATGACACCCAAGTCTACAATTTTCAGCAACATTTCTATCGTGAATACGCCGGTAAATGCATAATCAAAGTAATTCAAAATTTTGTTTCGCCTCGAGTTCTCACGAACGGGATCTTCGGCTGCTAATGCTATTGATGACATTGAGATGACGACCATTATGAAGAAATCAAAATATGGTAAGTTTACGACCCAATGGGCGCCACGTCGTATGCTGTATGGGTCATTAATTGTTATACAAATAGGTGGTTGGGTTTGTTGTTTTTGGATTTTTTTTTGTTCAGTAAAAAAATGTTTGTTTTTTTTTTTTTTTTTTTTGCCAGTTACATTTGCAAAGTTCAATTAATTCGGTTATTACATTTGTTATTGAATTTTATGTTAGGTATTCGATTGCGATTTTTTGTTTTGTTTAGTCAACCGTTTTATTTAGTTTAAATTGTTTTTTTTTTTTTTCCAATTATTATTTAATCGATTTTGTTATTAGCAGTTATAATTTTGTAGTTGCATAGTTGAATAATGTTTTATCAACGGTGTTTGTCATAGTCATTGTTATAGTTGTTGTTGTTGTAATGGTTAAAGTTGTTGTTGTTGGTTTTGTTGTTGTTGTTGTAAAAGGTGATGATGAATTTAATAAGATGGATTGCAGTTTCTCGTGGTGAAAGTGATTGGTGTAGGAATCAAATGAAGTTTTCGTCGATATTTGTAGTGCAAATATTTACAATTTGAATTAATCAATGATAATTCAATTTATTAATTAATTTGTTCAGTTGTTCATTGTAGTGTGCAACATAAAATTGAACCGAATCCAAAAGAAAAAAGTAAAAGAAAAAAGTGAAAATAGTTAGTACATTTTTTGTTATGCTATAAATTTTTATCAGATATTAGGATAGTTATTAATGATAGCTATATTTGAATATTAAAAATTTCTAAAAGGAACCTAGATCACAAATACCTGCACTTAAATTTACGAGCCTATGCAAGTATAAAGGAACTGGAATTAAAAATAATATTTATATGTTTTCCTACCTATCCAACAGCACGACTGCTTGTCGATCAACAAGCCCATCCCATTGCTTAATTTTTGATACAAATCGATTCTTAGACTTGTTTCTTTGAGCAAAACTCAAAATTTAAAAGAATCAATGCACTTTTAATTCCATGTACATCGGACAACGAACATCGAAAATATTCAACAATAAATTTCGAAATTAGCGCAGGCGAAAGAAGCAGTGCATGAGTGTATGTAATAAACATATCTATAAACACCTGTATTGGCATTCTGTAATTCGTATTGAGCTATAATTTGTGATTTGAAGAATTGCACCAAAAGCCAAAGTGTTACTGATGGCTACATGAGATTTTGAAGTCGAAGCCACTCGACTATTTTAAATTCATAAGCATTATTATTCCAAAATAAAAGAATAAGCCATTACTCCCCCATTATTGCCGATCGCCTTGAAACTACTTTTGTAATGTTTTTGATAGTTCTTATGAATTCGTGTTGCACCCTTTTGGAATGTATATTGATGGATTGTATAGACGACATTTATGTTTTCGTCTGACCTGCTTCAAACTTATTTTTTTCTCACGAAAAATTCTTTATATCTGTTATTAATTTAATCAACTGCCATCGTTTCCAAGCCCCTAAGCATGTAGAAAGTCCTTAAAGATTTGTGGCGGGAAGAAAGAAAATCGTTGACCCGGAAAACGCCAGGTAACCCTAACTAGTATATAAAATCTAAATATATATATAGCTTGTGTTACCCGGCGTTGCCGAGTGAGATATTTAAATAAGTAAACTAATGAGAATAATATTTACGGATTTGTTGGTGAAAGTATAAACATCGAAGAATATGGTAACATTGGCTTGGGTCCTTCTGTTACTTCTTCTTCTTCTTTTTTCTCTTCCTCCTTTTTCTTGCTCTTTCCTTTGCTAGTGGCTACTGTACCATCGCCGTTCTCTAGATGAACCCCATCCCCTTGAAGCGCTTCCATCTCCTTTTCTAGCTCTTGTAGTTGTTTCTCTTTATCCTCTTCGACTTGTTCCTCTTCGGCTGCTGTCAGTTCTTGCGCATTCGCCAAATTATCGACGGCGATAGCCAAGAACACATTTAAAAGCGTATAATTACCGAAGAGTACCAAAACGATAAAGTATCTGTTAAAGGAATAGAAAGTTATGAGTTGAATCCACACAATTGCATATATATATATATATATATACATATATATGTAAGTACTTGGAAATGTCGGAAGTGTTCCGACCGATTTAATACCCTGCACCCACTTAAGTGCTAAATGTCAAAATCTTTTTAATCCATTCATGATTAACCTTATTGTAGGAATACCATATGGTTGATTGGCTCAATCCTCATGATCTTAGTTTTGACGGACCAGTATGTACTTTAAGCACATTCTCATCTGTCTCCACAGATTCAAGATATATTTATTTGGACCTATGTTAATATGTGCATCGGAATGGTAATACTTTTATTTTCAGGCGTAAAATGATGATGAATTTCCAAGTTCAACATTTTGTCGAGTGTTAATAACTACCAATATAATGAACTTAAGTAACTAAATAGATCTGATCTAAATATAATTAGTTACATATATTTACGGCACATCTGACTGCTAGTTGTACTATAGAATTTAAGAAGACTAAGAGTTGAATCAATCAATCTTTGAATACGATTTTACAGTGCGGCATTACTCGTAAGTCCAATAAGTCTTAACGAATATATTGTTGTAAGGCGTTAAATGCTTATAATACTTAATCAACTGTGACATAGGGCCAAAATGAATCCAAAACTGAATTGATTTCTGCAAAAAATTATGAATATAAATAGTTAAGCAGGTATGTGTAAAGTGTTTTAGCATTTCTAAATGTATACACTTACGTTATTAAGGTACGGATGAGTAGGCCGAGACTTTTTTTTTTGGATAATTGGCGACTGAGAAAAAGAGAATGGACTTGGCTTGCTAAATTTCAGAATTAAATTAAACTAAATTCTTCAAGCCATAAAGTCCTATCTCTCACTTATATTGTGAAACCAAAAATCCAACGTTTCGGATTATTAAAGTCGATTGCACACATTAATGGTTCGACGTTCAATGAATTCCATCTACTTTCCCAGAGCCTACTTCAGCGTTTATTATGAAATTATAATATCGAAATAAGTAAAACAAAATTAAAAGCAAATCAAGCAAAATTCTCAATAACTAAAAAATAAAAACAAATAACAAAAAATTCACGAGATCGAATATACTTCTTGTCACCTAGCAGGATATTAAGCATACATGTATTTCTCTAGAATATGACATCAAATTTGTATACTCGGTTCATGAAGTGAGAAAGTGGATTGGCTTTGTGCAATGTTTGTCTGGTCTACTGACGGTGTATATGCCCAGATTTTTTCACACATAAATAATAGAAACTTGTTACTTTGAAAATATACTCTGCGTTAAACAAAGGCTAAACTGCGAAAATCTATACTCCAACAGTTTTAGGGCTGGAATCCCTTATTTGGCAGATCGATGCAAAAATATTGTGGCCACATTAGTATCCGTCGCCACACATTGCAAAAATCGCAATTTTCTAAAGGCACCCGTAGAAAATGACTGCATTGCGGTTAAGTCTTTGAGCCACCAACCCAGATCGAGTATTGCGTAGTCGGTTGCACCCGACGAAATTGTTTTTACTAGGTCTTATCTATGATAATATCTTATAGCTTATACAACATACTCATATAATTAAATATATTATATAATATTAATAAAAAATATATATATATAAATATTTATTTAAACTTACATAGAGTAAATCATTCCTTTCTTTGCACCGCCTTGCGATATAATACCCTGATACATAACTTCATTCCAATCTTCGCCGGTAAGGATTTGAAACACGGTTAGAAGTGCTATGGGAAATGTGTTAAAATTTGTTTCGGGTGTGCCTCCTGGCAAATTGAATTGCCCACCGAATAATTGCATGCCAAGCAGTGCAAATATCAGTATGAACAAGAAGAGCAAGAAGAGCAACGAGATAATAGATCTCATTGAATTAAGCAATGAAATTACTAAGTTACGAAGTGATGACCAATATTTGGTCACTTTGAAGATGCGCAGCAGCCGTAGCGCACGCAACACAGATAAGCCGAAGGAGCCACCCTTAACTTCGGACCAGATCACCTCGAATATCGAACCACTAATGACGACACAATCAAAACGGTTAAACGACGACTCGAAGTAAATGCGAGGGCCCAGCGCATACATCTTTATAAACATTTCCGACATGAATAGGCCCAGGAATATAAATTCAGCGTAGTCTGTAACGAAATTAGTATTAGTATTAGCTACCAGACAATCTGCTCTCCACATCTTCTGCACAAGCTCGAGACCGATATTAAGAAATAACTTACACAGAAATTCCGTTAGAAATGTTGGCTGGCCATAGTGTTCGACAGCTACGCAGACGGTATTCAGAAAGACCAGAACTATTACGAACCAATAGAACCACTGCGTCTTTACTGTGTGTCGTATCCAGAATCGAAATCTTTTTTCGGCCCGCCAGAACCCTGTACAGCTGCCTTGGGGTTTTGAACGAGTTTTTAGATAACCTGTCAAAAGTAAAAATAGAAGATTAGTAACATTTAATGAATCGATTTCTTAATAACCTTAGGGAGGAGTGTTTTTAATATTGCCAGATAAATTTGATGTGTCCTGCATATGAGTACTTTGTGATATAATCGTGGTAGTTGTTAGCTTTATTCGATATCTCTACGCTTAACAAGATGCAACTACAAACATAGATATCTACGAGTATATACACACATACATACATGAAATGTTGGGTTTTAATACTATATTTAAGAGATGACAATGTGTCACAAATTTAATAACACTGAAACGACTTGGTGTACGTCGTAAGCCTCGAGTATAGAATTTCTACATACTTGCTATTGATTTAGTATTGTCTGTGAAAACCATAGCTTCAGGAGCTATTAAAAAACTTTAGATTGATTTCGCCTGGCTACAGTTCAAAATTGGTTAAAAGGGTGAAATGGCTTTGTGTATGTAACAGGCTGAAAGAAGCATATCTGTTCGTCTGTGTGAACTCGCAATTCTCAGAAACTACAAAAGCTGGCAACTTCAACAATTGAATGAAATATATTCACCTTTGCGCAGAACAAGGATAATATTTTCGATATATCGTCCCATTCGTATAAAAGCTTAGGTCACAAAACTTTTAATGTACGTTCTCGGATGGTATATGAATATATATTAAAAATATTCATTTTTAAGTTACGTCTCCCACTCGTTTTTAAAGTTAGAGCATTTGCGATTTGGTATATACACACTTTTATATATCAAGCCATGAAAATTGCGCAAAGATCGGAATATAAACACCGAGTATAAGCATGCATTTCTCACAGTGTACGACTAAGTACACATTAAGTAGGAAGAAGAAGTAAGAAGACACGGCATTCGTGTGTGTTTAATTTTAAAGGAAGCTTAAATGATTCTAGCAGGACACTCGACTATAGCACTCTTTCTTTCATTCAACAAATTAAATAAACGAACATAAAAATGACAAATTTTTGCGGGATTTGGACCGCGAATCCCCGTTTTTCACGTCGGCGCTAAGAAAAAGGGAGCTTATTTTTCACAGTAGCGAAGTTAGTTCCCGATACGACATGGCTAAGCATTGAACAATAAAATTGTAAATTAAAAAGAAAAAAGAGTTTTGGATAAGTTTTTCCAAATTCCTATAACTTGATCGTCTCGAACAATAATTTGTTGCTCTAAGTATCCTTATGATTTAGTTGTTAAACGAAATCCTGAATTTAAATCTACTTTCCCTGTTGGAAGACAAAATGTTCTTAGAAACTGTAAGACACAGAAAAAAATGTATAATAATAAATGTAAAAACTTCTCGCCCAATGTTTGGAAGTACACAATGTATGAGACTAACTTTTAATTATTTTTTTTTTAGTAATTTAAATTGGTTGACATTTCATCGAAATAGGAAAAAGAATTCACAGCACAAAAAGTTAAAAAAAAAATATAAAAAATGCACCAAATAAAAATATTGACGTATTTAGAGTGAATCCAAATGAACCAAAAAAGTAAAGTGATAAAAAAAAAACCTTAAAAAAATCATTTTGTTATATAGCGTACTCATCACTGGAATGAGTGACATTTAGTCTTACATTATGAAGGCAACCTAAGTATGATTGATATCAATGAAAATTCATAAACAAGTGCATTTTGTAAATTCCATTTAAATTGAATTATAGCTTGTTGGGCTACATGAATTATTCATTAAAAACTATGAGCCTAGCATAGGTGAAATTGAAATAGGGTACGCAATTTTCCGTGATGTTCGATAAACAACATCTCCGACATGATTTTATTATATGTATGTTAATACTGATACTGATACATTAAAAAAACTGTATAAATTTATGTTGCTACTGAATTGTACGTATGCAGCACGATATTGTGAAAAATGGTTGTATAGTAAATCAAATAATTGGTCAAATTATGGTTTACTTACACATTTTGAATATTTTCAATGTAAGATATAGAATTTCGTTTTGTTAAATTTCACAAAAATCCAATAAAAAGAATAATGTAATTAATTGGATTTAAAAACAAATATATCTTAAAAACATCTTAATACAATTAATTAACTAACGTTAAATGCCTATTTTAAATAATTGGTTCAGGAATTTTTGTAATAAATGCCTGTTTCCAAAGCAAGAACTATCTGCATATATGGAACTTGACATTCTTAAATCAAAGTCGTGACAATTTTATCTTAGTAATATTTTAATAAATCTATATAATAACATAAATAATTAATATTTATTATGAATGTTATTGCAAAAATCAATAAATCAAGTACCAAAAAAAAGCGAAAAACGTTCTTGAAATTTGGTTCCTAATTGACGAACAACAATTGTTATATTGATTACAAAGTCATCTGACAGATAAAAGCGGTAAGCTACCCATCCATTATTCGTTTGTGCTTCCCTCACACACAGCTTCAACGTTTATGTAAAATTTCCTGAACAGACTTTTTACCCTGACAACATATATTACATAAATATAATATGTTAGTTAGTCAAGTGTGCGAATAATAATATTATTAAAAACTTCTTCAAATATGTGTGGGTTCGTATGGCGACAACATTACCCGTCGTTAGACTTGACTATTTTAAACCCTCTTCTACAAAATATGGGTAAGAGGTGTGTAATGATTTTTTTAAATTTATAAGACACGCAGAACGACGCTTCTCCAAACCTGTTTATCAATCTCAGGGACTAAAAGAGGTAGAGACGCGATAATTAAAATGAAACTCATACCATTGGAATCGCAGATCAAGACTATCGACACCAACCATACAATGCATTGTATACCATACTTTTAAAGAAGGATAAAGACCTTAAACCTTAAATTAAACAAATAAACAGATCCAAAGAAACAAAAATTATTCTTTGGGGAGCAATCAAAACCATTTTTTAAACTTATATATATGTTTATATATAAATACATGCTGAACCCACTGAATCCTTCTTGATTTTAATAAGTGTGCTTATTTCAGGCGGCGGTCGACAAGACAAGTTATTTTCTTTTATTCCTTTTATGAGCTCAATCGACAAAGAAGACTAAAGGTAAATGGAGAAAAGATCCTAGTGAATTTTGCTGGACCTTCTCTTGGCTATCCTCACACCAGAAGCAGCCTAAAACTTCGTGTTTGGACCTTCCTCGCTGTTGGCCTTTTGGAAGCCTTGTGGAAGATGTGGTGATATTCTGTGTCAGCAACATTGTTCCTTGGCAGTATTTAGACTGCTGCCAGTGATAGTTCCCGAAGCAGACATACAATTTTGACAACCATTGTACTGTTATGGCTTATTGTTCAACAAGGGTTAAGTCTATTCTCCTGAGTATAGCTATACAACTCCAAGCTCTTTGGCTTGCGACAAAATGTATATTCGAGCATAGGCCGTTCGCATTCCATTGAAAGTCAATTGGGTTGCATATACATAGGCTGCCAACACGTTGAAGAATATCTGACTGAGCTGTGATCTGCGCTAAAATTTGTTTCATCAAACTTCAACCCATCGCATTGTACTCGGCGACCGATAAAAGAATTGACAATGAGTCAGAACTTGATTGGAAGTGATCTCTGTTTTTCCCTGTATATACGCATTTTTTTCAGGATATGACATGCCATTTTTATGTATAAACCGACCTAACATAACTATTTAATTAGGGATATACTTTCGGGAATCTCATAGATAATAATGCACATTACGGTAATTTGAAGCTGGGCACGGAAGGTACGCGGGCAATCTCGTCAAAGGTACAAGTACTTTTTTTTAGAAGAATAGCTCTTAATTCTTTTTTGTGCGAGTATTAACCAAATCTTTGCAATTTGAGACCAACTCAAAAAGAATGCATTCTTTTCAACCTGAGTTTTAAATAGATAAGATTTCACTTGAAATACTGATTGTAACGTAATGTTTAAGAAGTTTTAAGAGTCTTTTCGTTCACCGTATCAAAATAGTTTCCGGCACTTATAGTAATAAGAAATTAAATGCTTACCGTCATCGCCATAGTCCTCCTCAGCTTCTTCCTCTTCAGTGTCGGTTGATTTTGACTTTCCTAAACTTTTCAGCTTTTTCCGTTTGGCTGCATTTCGCCTACGAGCTAGAATACAAAATTATTAGGCAAATATCGCATATTAGAGCTTAAATATTAGCAAACCTTCCATTATGTGCATTTTCTCCTCTTCAGTTGTTCGCTCTTCGGCTAATATAACCTCCTCTGAAAGGATATCATAACGAGAGACGGATTATAATACGTTCATAGCATGCTCATAAAGGATTTTCAAATCATTTAATTTTATGACAAGCAGTATTAGGATTAACAAATATGTAAATATGTATTTATTTTGATTGAGTATATTTTGTATTTCCTTTATTTTAGTAAAAGCGTACTTGTGTAATGAATGGATATGAAGAATATTTGTGAGGTGTCCGTGTGTTACATTTGAGAATAAATTGTGTGTAATAGGAGAACTAGCAAAAAGCCACTTGTGGTGCATTGCGATATATATTAAACATGTTAGTTAATAAAATAAGAGAGTGCTCAAGGCGAAGGTGCCCGACTAGAAGATACACCGTACTCAGTTCAGAGCCATCATTACACTCATTGATACTCATTCACACTTTCCTCTAAGTATACATCAAGAAAAAAAAACACATTCAAACGCAGATATTTACGATGGTATATTTACAAATTGATCTCTATGAAACTTTCGGCGACTTTCCAATGCAGGGCGGAACGGGAACTGGTATCCAAATTGTCATCTATGCACACTACTTGGAGACTTCAAAAGCTTGTTTTTAAATCGACATTTTTAGATATACAATAATTTATCGCAAACAAATTAGCACAAACAAATATTCTTACGTTTACGAGAATATATGTTTCAAATCGGAAGGCCTTTTCTTCTATAATATCCGAATTAAGGGTTGACAAACGTTGATGCTCTGATCAAGAATATATATACATATAATACTGAATTCAAAAGTTCGACTAAGAAATAACCTGTACTTAGGGTTGAGGGGTCGTACAAAACATTCGAGCTTCTTTCTGATGCTCGAAGATACGTACTTTATTCAATGTGGCATGAAGGTTCTTTATATTGAATATAGGTAGTGCTAAAGTCATTTTTGGCATTCACTATTTATTCATACATTATTATCATCAGATAAAATATTATGTGAATCGGACAATAATCATAGAAAACATTTATGAATGGGGCATCTTCTGATCGAGCACTCTGGTGAGATTATGTTTATTTTTTTTTTAAATTGTGAATTTAAAGGTATTGTAATTATAAACTTATGAATGTATATATGCAATTTTGTAGGTTAAAGCACGATGAAATAGGTTTTAAATATGTTTATAAAGATACAAAAGAAAGGGGTAAATACTATACCAGCTTTACAAATCCATTCAACATAGCCGTTTAACTCTCTTTCTAGTTGCTGCTGCCTTCTAAGTTTAAGAAATTCTTGTCTATTTTCTACTTTTTCTCGTTCTTTTGCGAATTCACTACAAAAAATAATCAAATAGAATATGATAAACTAAAAACAGGAACGATCAAATGAACAAATATGTATGTATTGCATTACATAATACAATTTTCAGTTTGTTACCTTTTAAAGATATTTATATATGTATGTGTATGGGGTTTTAAAATGAACATATAATTATTTATAAGTATTTTATAAGTTATGTATACATGAGTACATGTTGAAATGTTGAAAAGTTATTTATACATGAAAAAAAGAAATAAAAGCAAAAAGAAATAAAAATAAAAATTCAAAGAGGATTTGTATTTGAAAAATGAGTAAGTATTGGTTGCATACTGTGCATAACACTTTACATTTTAAAATAAGTCTGCAATATTTACTCAATTGGAATTGCAGTTAGTTAGTTGAGTAAATGTTATGTAAATGCCACAGTGGCTGGATCCAGCGATTATATATATATCCATACATGCATACATATTAACCGCATACATATGTTTGTATGTATACATATCCGAAATACCAGCATTGCGCTAAGTTAACGAAAGTTTTCCGTTTTTGGAAAATATAGGGATCCTTCTGAGTTGCAAGACTACAGCATGATGTACAGTTAGTTTTAGGTTTAATGTTGTTTATATCAACTAGCTTCAAAACTTTATCAAAAAGTTTAGTGAACTTGTTATTGGTAAAAATTTGTAAAAACTTTTGATGAACTGAATCGTTCTATAATCATAACACAACAGCAGTTCGTTGATATTATTAAATAATGGAACATATTAATTTTGATAGTTTGATAGTACTAGTACACGATAACAAAAATTGCAAAGGCATAACAAACTGGTGTGGAAGTACCTTGTATGTTTGTAGAATAAGTATGGTAGTTGGGAATAAACTATATATGTAGTTAATTGAGGATTAACATATTAAGTAGCTAATTTTGTAGTGGTATAGCATACTGCATAGAAATAATTAAGTAGCATGTTCGAACTGGGTTGCTACCAGAACATTTGTTATATGTTATATGTATATGGGGTTTAGGTGGTGGGGCCAAACAGCATTTCGTAGATAAGTATAGTAACAGTTTTATTGCATTGATTCAATTAGCAGCATTTAATAAATTGTTATATAAACTATTAGTCAAGAGCAAAATTGTTAGTTGCCGAGGATTTGGAATTGTTTGCGTTTTATTAATAATATCATATGTAACTAATATGAATTTAAACACGTTCGTATATAGTATGCAATTCAATTAAAACATTGTATTTGTAATTGTATTTTCCTAGTTTTATTTTTTTTTTTAAATTAGTTTATTTGTGTCCGTATATAAATATATACGTTGCGGGATTAGTAATATTTCTAAGTAGAAGGAAGTACAGGTTGGGCAAATCTCTTTTCAAGATTCGAGTACTCTAAGGATATGACGGTTTAGCCAATTTGTGATTATACGAATATTATGGCAGTTTGCTAAGTTTCATTTGGTATGTTCATATTTTAAAAACCTGCTTGTGTAATCCAATCAAGATATGAGACCATTGCTGTTTGAAACATGGCACGAAAGCGGCATTTCTGAAATTCCATGCGACGCTCGACGCGGTTTCTCTCGTTTGAAAACTCTCTGAATTTCCAAAAATACATTTTAATAAAACATAAGCCAAAACAAATTATGTACAAAAATAAAAATTTCATTATTTATCAGTTAGCCGTATATTATACGATTTCTTATTCAGCATTGAGACTGAAATTATTTAACAAGTGTTTGAGCATATTAAATAATATGCAAATTTTTTTTTTTTATATTTTTTAATGTACAACATGTATTCTATGGACTCGAGTGTACATATATTTTATGCCTATCAAAGAATGAATATTGGAGCATATGTAGATTTTACAAACCTGTGCTATGTATGTACACATCTATAATATATTTTGTAAATATGCACACGAAGCTTTGATATTCAATATGCATTGAATAAAACTTGTTAAATTGAATATTTTAAAGTGTTTTTAAATTCAAAATCATCAATACAGGAAGCGTTTAGCTTAAAAGTTTCTCATTACAGATGCAGATACTGCATAAGCGTTAAAGCTTTATTTGAATGGCTGTTTCACTGATGTGAAAAGCGACGTGATTTCTGAAATGATCTTTTCACATACACATCTCTTCTTGGAATGCTATAGATCATTCGAAAAGATAATACAAAATATAAATAAAACTGTGACGGAGAATTGTGTGGAACCAAATTAAAGTTTTAGGGCCAACTTACCCACTTAAAACACCAAGAACTAAGTTGAGCATAAAAAATGAGCCTATAACTATAAGAGGCACGAAATATATCCAATTAAATGTTGAACCTAATGCGTCGTTGGTCTGTAAAAAGATAATAAATACGGTTATGGCATGTTTTATGATTTTTCTTCATCTATTTTTCATCAGCGTAAACAAATAAATACAAATAGAGTCATTCTCAGATAACAGGTCAAACTTGGCTTTTCTTCAATTAGTTTTAAAGTAGGCTTTGTCAACTTAATAAATGGCTATTTGTTTTTATTTGCATAAACCAAACATTTTAAAGATCTTATGTAAAATCTGTACTCATTGTATTTACCCAATATAGTATTGACGTCCAGCCCTCCATTGTGATGCATTGGAATACGGTCAGCATGGCAAACCCAATATTATCAAAGCTTGTTATGCCTGAATTTGGTCCATCCCACTTTTCCAGACACATGCTCGTCGTACTATTGCATACAAAGGATCCTCCCGCCTTCTCTGTGCTATTATCAGTGTTGCAGGGTGTCTCCGATTCCCCTTCTTTCACTAGTTTGTCTGACCAAGCAGACGATCATAGAGGAAAACAAGATATTTAAACTCTTGACTTAAAATATATATAACATATTTTGTATACTTGGATCTTCTAAGCTATAACAAGTCTTATGCAGTGCGCCCGAATAAAACTCGAGTCCAATGATTGCAAATATTACGATTGCAAACAACACCAAGAGTCCGATTTGCAGTAAAGGTGCCATCGCCTTGATTATAGATTTTAAAACTACTTGTAAACCTATATACAGCGAAAGATAAATGTTGTACATCGTAGAGATCCATCGCAAGTTATTGTGGGTCATGCGAATAATTTGTAAAATACAATTTGCATTAGTAAAATTTAAATGAACAAATTTTTGTCAACATAAGTATTCTCTCTTGTTATATGCATGTATGTATATAATATACACATGTATATATATATGTATATATGGAAAGATTGTCATGAGATCTCACAAGCTCTCTCTTATCAACACAAATACGTACACATGTATATATAAGTATATACATAGAACATTTATAAGTTCAAAACCATGCAATATATATAGAATTAAAAATGTTTCTATGCTTTAAATGATCTATTACCATACGCTAAGCCGTATCGTATTATATAAGTTTGTTTTAAGTGAAAATAAAATGTATGACTACTCACTAGGAATTCCAGACACTAATTTTAAGGGCCGTAGCACACGAATGGCTCTAAGTGTTCTTAGGTCTACCTCGGGCCCCATTTGTGGGTACTGTGTCATGAATCTGTTTGCAGACGTTAAGCGATCAAAGCGAGCATTTCATTAGCAATATCCAATGAATTAAAGGGTCACAATTAATTCAAAATTATTAAAAAATAAGACATTCAATTGTGCTACTAAAATTGATGAACATAAAAAATTGTAGACTTAGCATCTAGATGGCAAGTAAATAGTATTAATTCAAAATAAATTAGAGTTAATACTTGACAAAAAAAGATTATGTAAAATAAATAAATGAACTTAATATATAGGGGACTTATAACGCACGATTAGTTTATATATGTATTTTGCACACGGAAAGGGATAACCAAGCGATAACTTTTGGTTATTTACCTTTGTCTAATTATGTATTTGTCAACTACAGTCATAAATTTTATTTAATATTTGAAAACTTAATTTAAATGTACATCAAGTATTTTCCTATAGACATGACTTATTTTTAATGACTTGATTAAAACTAGTTGAGCGCCACCTTGTAGAAATCTGACAAACAAATTTATTTTTATAATGTTTATTTAGATGTATTTACTATGTAAGCGCAACCCTGCACCTGTACAAGAAGGTCAAAAAAACCGAAATCCAGCACAGCATTTATTATATAAAAGTGTGAAAGTATGTACATATGTACATATTTATCTTTATGCTTCCCATATGAAATAGGTAATAGGGATATATATATATATATATATATATATACATATATACCCACTAAAAATGCACAAATGTATCTAAAATGCAAATTATCTGCTATTATTTAATATTTTCTAACTGTAACACCAGGTTCATAAATTACTTTTTTTCGTGTACGAATTTTAATATCCAGCTCTAAGTAAAAATGAAATAATCTAGAACGATTTGGCTTTGATTATATTAAGAAACGCACTTGTACTTTTATTTGATGCACTAAAGAGGTTTTAAAATTGTTTTGCTTAAATCAAAACAAACACAAAACGATCCAACTGAAATAAGGCCAGTGTGCCAACATTACGCGTTGTATCATGTTTCTAATTCCTGAAACCGATTTCAATTTGATTTGAATTTCGTCGATCAGCCTCTCACAGCTGCCTATATTTAAAATGTGTAGAAATGTATGGATTAGTTAGTGCTCTTCGAAGAAAATTACGCGGCCAAGCTTGTGTTTGTGATTTCAATATGGAGAACGTTGCCTGGTTTCTGCTTTTCAAACTGCATACAAAGAAGTTTAAGAAGATGGAGATAGAAAAGGAGCTGAAAATGTTAAAGTTGCAACTGAAACATAGTAAATACTGGTTTACACTTTTTTTTCGGCATTTTGTGCTTTCACGGCTTTGTTTACTTTCACGCCAGTTGACAATCAGCTGTTCTAAATCTAAATCTAAATCAGTGTCATGAATGTAACTATTAGATAAGCATCTTATTATCATCTATTACATACACTTGAGAAAATTTGTATTTCATCTTTGTTGTTTTGTTATCACAGGTATGTATTAGAAAAAACTTAAAGCGATTTTACGATGAAGTTACTTCTTTTGAAATTGTGATGAGAAAGCAACGTTCGCTTAATATCTATGCAAGAGGTAATAAATTCTAAAACGAATAATTTTAGTAACATTTCTAAATTTTGTTTAATTGATAAGTGCCCACTTATTTAAAAGAAAAAACATATAAATAGTTATATTATTAAAAGGGATTAGTTTTTTGCTAAATTGTATGTTTTTATATTATATTATTTTATATTAGGAAAATTGTTAGTTTGCTGCCTGATATATCTTTTTATAACCTGAACATCAACAAACGATCCAAACATGTTCATCCGTCAATCTGTACATCAGAAATGATTAGAGCTGGAGACTTGACTCTGCCCACACAGATCGAGTTAATTTAAAATCATCGAAAACTTGGCCCGTTCCCATGAAATCGATTATTTATTATTGAAATCTTGTTGAGAATATCTTAGAGCTTATAAAAGGGCTTTGGGCTTTGTTAATTACACATGTTTTGCTCTCATATATATGTCTTACAAATTTATGATCGGACAAGAAAAACGGCTAAACGCTGGGTTCAGGGTATCTCCCAGTCGGACACTCCCGACAAGAGCACTCTTACTTGATTGTTTTTATAATCGTAGCGGTGTGCATTACGGAGTTAATATATTTGTTAATCTCCTAAAAAAAAAAATACAGACTAGTAGTCTACGTCCTAAATAGAAAATTGAATAAACACAGAATTATTTGTAATATAATATATGATATATACATATGTACTACGTACATGATGTGTGTTTTCATTCAGCTAATGATATAGTTATTATTAAGATTTAGTCACGAAACTTTGCGTATGAATTTTAAGAATATATACTAATAAAAGATTTTCCAACAAGTTAGTTAAAAATAATTATAGTCTCTATTTTTATGTTCCAGTTTAGACAGAAAAACACTAAAGTTTTTGTCTGCGATGTCATCAAATGAAAATGAAAAAGTCGTACTATAACATATTGAGCATTAAAGTATGCAAAGAACTACGTTATATAATGAGTTTGTTATTATTTAAATTAATTAGCAAATAAGTTATTATTACATTTAACTTCTCTGGTTGAGTTCATTGTTTTGATTCACAAAACTAGCTATAAACGTACGAATAAACCAATGTTTCATTATGTTAAATATCAGATATCAACAATTGTAACCTTGTTCGTTCGAAAGTTCCTACTGATTTTTGTTTTCAAAATACGAAAGAGGCTATAGCTTATATATCGAAACTCTTAAGGCTTTTGTTTTTTATGTTCAAGCACACATCATATTTGAAAACACCAGCTGCCAATGTTACCTCTGACAATAAACATTTTATTTACAACAACCTGTGTTTCGAAAACAAGTCACGAACAGTGCGAAATATGGCAAGTACTGTTAATCGAGCTGTTAATATATTTATTAATTATCAATTAAACAGTTTTCAACGTTCCTACTAAAAAATACACATTTGTGTTAAAAATAAATTGTACTGCGCAAAATTACAGCTAATTAGGCTACACCGAACTCTCTTCTACAAACAGAATTTCAGTTACTTGCAAAACATTTATTTTTGCAAATAGTTCGCTTATAAAGACCAAAAGAGAAGTATTACAAATTACTCACTTAATATCTGAAAAATATTTCATAAATAGCATTGGGTATAAGGGTATCATAATATCAGGGCCTCTCGAAGATGTGAATCAATTACTTAGAACCATTTAGGTAACTTACACAGAAATAATATTGAGCATATTTGTATCTAAGCAACAAATTGCTGAAACATATATATGTATAGTTATATATACTTATGTTAAGTAAGTACAATGAAGCTTTGGAGCTTCTAATATCTAAAAATGCTCCTAGGCACTAATATGCGTTTAATAGAGCTAGCTCCTATATTATCTATTACTCTAAAATATTGTATATAATTATTGAAGTAAATGACATATAAGTTATCTGGCCTAGGGACTCCTAATTTAAAATATGATGTCTTCAGCTAGGTTGTCTTACTTGGAATTCGGGATACAAGCTTCAGCGGGCGTAACACACGAAAAGATCGCAACATGCGTAGGTCAACATCTATATTGGCCTCGGCGAATATCGTCATGGCACTGTTCGGCATTGAAGTTGCCATATAAAAGTCGGTATGTACATATGTAAATTACAAATAAATTAACGTGCCTTCAAATGGCATTTTATAAGTGACTTAAATACAACAACCAAATAGCCAACCTTATCCCTCACAGATATATGATTAGCTTTGTATTTTTCTTAACCTTAAGTTGTGAATCTGTTGTGTTGCTTGTAAATGTGACACGGGCATAACAAAAAAAAATTTGAAAAATGTTAACTGAAGAAAACCTGTTAATCAACATAACCGCTATCGTTAAAAGTTTTGAATTGATATCCTCTTGCTATCCATGTTTCATAAAATGCAGGTCAGTATTACTTTAAATTAATATTGAGCAACAAAAGAATTACATTTGAAACCATAATTTTAATAAATTGCGGATGTGCGGCATATTTGCCAAAAAACAAAATATTTAGGTGTAAAATTGGGTTTACAAATAAAGTACATATTTACCCCGTCACTACAACGAAAAAATCCATGATGTTCCAAATATTCCTGAGATAGGAGTGTTTATGCAGAACAAGCCCTAAGGCAAGGATCTTGAGCGATGCTTCTACACAGAAAATGCATAAAAAATAGGCCTCCGTTTTTTCCTAGAGAATTGAAAAAATGTCATAAGAATTTCATAATACTAATTCGAAGGTTACTTTTTATATTGTGCGTCTCAGCATTTTTACACCCTTGCAGAGGGTTTTATAATTTTGTCGTGAAATGTGAAACCCATAGAAGGAGACATCTCTGACCCCATAAAGTAAGTATATATATTCTTGATCAGTATCAACAGTCAAGTCGATATAGCAATGCACATCTGTCTGTTTCTACGCGAACTTGTCTCTCAGTTCTATCGTCATGAAACTTTGCAGAAATCTCTATATCTGTTGCACGGACTTCATATGTTAGAACCAGCTGGATCGGACCACAATATCATATAGCTGCCATAGGAACGATCGTTATAAAATTATGTTGTATGAAAAACTTTTTGTTTTTCAAGATATGTTAACCATACTCGGCTTTGGGTTTGCCAGGGAATTAAATCTTCGGCGTGCCGAAGACAGCCCTTTTTTCTCGTTATACTATTTATTATTAATCGCAGTCCAAAAACGAAATAAGCTCGTCAAAATTATGAATTATACAAATTTCTGAACAGTATTTTCGAAACCAGAGAGTTTTTCAACTTATCGTGAAGCAGCACAACAATTTCAATCGCCGTCCGTTCGATGCATGAGGAATTTAACTTAAAAATAAACAAAATTTTATTTTCAATTATTTTATTTTTAAACAGCTTGAATCTGTATCTTATGTGCCATTTGTGTGTATTTTGTTATAAAACGTCGGCTTTTTAACATTTTATTTCAGAAACTTAATTAAACTTTATTGGTGCGATTAGGCTGAAAGCTTACTTTTTTAGTACAGTAAAATGTTTTTTCTTTAGTTCTATAATAATGTTTTTATGCCCTAAACCTGTTACAGGCAAAAGAACGCAGCTAAGACCCCATAAAGTATATATGTATATTTTTGATTTTATTTATTAAGAAGGGCAAGCGCAACTGGCATAATTACGCAAGTCAGCTCGAGGTCACATTAAGTCACGCCAGCAGCCTCCAGTTGGTACCCCTGAGCGATTGTCTAGAGTTTAATGGATAACCTTAATGACAAGCAGTGAGCTATACCAAGGCTGCTTAATTTGGTGAGACAATCCCCAATTGCAGCTAATCAAACGGACAAAAGGGAAAAAGGAACCATTGAATGTTTTCGGACCGACTGATACGAAAACCCATGCTAATATATATATAAATATGTATTTGTGTATATTTTATTGTTACTTTGTTAAATGAAAAAATTGATCGTTATGCGCAGGAATATTACCGGCCTAATCAATCGTGGACAACGTCGCGTCGGGATATGCAAGTAATGAATTAAAAACTATTTATTCCGCAGGCAAATTATTTTTTTTTTTTAAGGGACTTGGAAAAATAGTTTTTACATTTTCTTACGCTTGTACTTTCGCGGCAATTGTCTATCAGCTCTTCGGGTAGGCTGGCTGATCAAAAAATCCAAATCAGTTTGAGAAATCTCAATAGTAGTTAAACTATTCGTGTGGCTTGAAAGTGTGAACAGCCGTTGCAACTCTGCACAATGATGGTTTACACCTGTTCGCAGCCGTTCTGATAACGTTTTGGCTGATTTGATTTTTGATAATTGTGCTAATTTGCTAATTAGATGCAATTTAAATGCATTACAAAGAGGGTATTCTTGGAGGATGATGTCAACTACATATATATTTCTAAAAGTGAACATGTTGAGGAAGTGTGTAGTATTTGTTACGCACTCAGTTTAATTTCTGATGCTTTTAACAGCTGCTGTCATCAGTTTAGTACTAAATGATACCAAAATACCGAAATATCGATTGAGCTAATCGAGTATTTATCGTGTACTTATCCATCTCCAGTGTTGCCACAGATCAATAGTCAATTATTAATACTAAGGCATGCTTAGATATCAGCACGTCAAACATACCTTCGATATTGAGAGGATAAATGACAGTCAAGTAAATGTCTTTGTCGTAGAACCCACACTTTTTATATACTCCCAAAAAATTTGTTGGATTGCATTGAAACTCATGCAAAATTATTGATTTTTATAATGAATATGTTAGAAACAATGACAAACTAACGTTTTTTTCGATATTAGTCGCACAATATAAAAAGCAACCCTCGAAAGTAATTGGTTCATAATATTAGTATAAGTTTGTGGGCTGAAGAAAGTGTCGACAGTACATAACATAAATGTTATTACTTTCTTTATAATATTATTATAATTATATTATTATATAGTAATATGCATATGTGTTCAGAACTGAAAAACAAGCTTTTATATTCTTACCAATTTTTGAGCCAATACTGTCTTGTCGCCTTCTGGCAAGTGCTCTTCTAGTGCCAACACAACACAGTTGGCTATGATTGTCAATAACACAGCGTACTCAAAGGGCGGCCATTCAATGATGAATCGTGTGTATTTTCTAATTGGGTTATCCTCGGTTAGGATAAACAATGACGTCGGACCACCACCTGGTGGGTTTTCCTCTTTTTTCGGGCCACCCATTCTATCAGCTAAGCGATGGGCTCCCTTTCGACCCAAGTGCCCCCCGCCTAAGGAGTCCTGTTGATGCCCTGCTAGCACTGCTTCCTGAGCTGCTTCCAACCTAAGTTAGAAGATAGAGATCATTATAACGACTTATGAGCATGTTTGTTCTGTCCAATAACTTGCACAATACTAATACGAAAGAAAATCTAAAGCAAATTAAAAAACAATAGGCATGCATATCCTTTCGACAGCTTCGAAACGAGCATTGTGCAAACTAACTTGTATCTACATAATACTACATAACATGCATAGTGTCTGTAGACTTAGCAGACACTAAGCACTAAGTTTAAATGAACTAAGTTAGCTCAACTGCTATGGGCGATAAACATACCGTCACTATATCCAATTTTTGATACTTTCGTAACGACCACTCGGCCATAATTATATTACACAAGATGAACCACAATACGCATTTGTCGGGAGTGACACGCCGTCCGCATGGCACAAGAGTGGCAACCGGACATTTAGCTGGGAAGCCAAAGGCTGCACTATATATCGCAATGGCCGGGTGTCCGATATATTATGCCCGAGGACTAAGAATAGCAAGGCGGATTCCACTCGTTATTTTTCTGTCACAATTTCTTTTAGTTGTTCTTTTTGTATTTGTTTTGGTTTTTTATTTCTATTTTTAATGCAGCGCCTATTGCTTTTGTCTTTTATTTTGGTATCTGGTATTTTATTTTTTCTAATATATTATTATTGCACAAAATGCTGTTTTCCAAACACAAAGTACATTTATATATTTAAAGATGAGGTGGAACTGTTTTAATGTACTTAAGAGAATTTGCCGTTCACGATTTTATGATATATTTTATGAATTGAGCCATGTAGTTTTATCACTTTGTATTTACACGTTCACATTTTTTTTGTCATTCAAAGATGCTGAAGTTTAGTTTTAGTATAGGTTACCGGTTTTATCACATTTGTTTATATTTGCACATATATTAATGTGTATGTATAAAGAATTTTATGGTTTCATTTATATAACTATTTATTCATTTGTTGTTAAACACTTTTCAATGAACGAAGCAAAGCTTATGAGAGTGATTTTGTTTTTGTTCGGGTCAATTCAGTTCATGACCTATCGAAATACACTCCAAAAATGCACTTGTATGTTTGTATGAATGTGCATACATATGTATGTATTTTCATACAGGCACATGCACATGTATAAATGCGAGTACACACATGTCACATGCTAGTTAGATATTAGTAGATTTCATAAATTTATTATAAACATATCAAATGTTTACCTATCCTATTTTTATACGTATTGTTCGGTGAATGTACATATGTATGTTGGTAGCTTCAAATGTCAGTATATCATTTTATTACTGGAGCACGATATGAATGAAAAGTTAGGGGATGAAACGCTCCGCACTTACATACATACATACATACATACATAAATACCGACGTACGTAAGTGTGGTCATGAGAAGTTCAACACGCTGTGGTGAATTGTGAAATGTTAAATAAAAGTTTCTTACTGCGCTGAATTTGGGCAGCCGGATAGTAGCTCTGCCTGCATATTTTTTCTTCGGATAAAGACAAATCCTATAATTTAGTGCATTATCATATGGCTAATACATACGTATGCGATGTAATGCATAATTTTCAAAATACATATATACACACACAATATGTTTGAATAATGAATTGGGATATGGCCGATAAATACAATTATACATATTTTCACATTCGCAACATTTTTATACATTTTGATTTATTACAAGCACATTACTAACTTCTTGCAACAACGTATTTCCTATTGTAATATTGTAGATGTCAAAAATATGCATCTATAAACGCGCAAAACAGAACAGAATATTGTTCCTTTAAATTAGTTAGATACAATTTTTTGATCTTTGCCTTTGGTTCATACAATTCCGAGACGCTGGAGCATAAAAGCTTTTCAAATTGTAGGAAACGGGACAAATGTGATTAAAAGCGACATAAACTTCAATTATGTATTTAGCAGCATATTTTGTAATAAACCTTTGAGTAAACTTTAGCAGTTTCATTGATGCAGACGAAATTCTTTTTAAATCCTGCCATTTTCTGTTATGTGTGATGTTAATACCTTGCCATACCCTGACGGTTCCCACAGTCAAATAATTGATAGTCAAGTTCTGTCCAAAAATGAGACGAAACCTTTTGGTCGGTAAGTTTTTTTTTTTTTTTTTGATTTCGTTGCGTGTGTGTGCGTGTTATTTTTTTCTTTTTTTGTATATTGAAGTCGTGCGACCATCGGGTGCTTGGAACTATCCATATGTACAATGTACTAAGTAGGCATTTATTTTGCCTTGGTATAAATAATACAAGCTAAAAGTAATTAAGTGACGTCATTCTTTAATTTGTTTTTGGGTTCATTTTCTCTGGAATTTGGATGACAATGGAGAAAATATAGTTGAAAAGAAAAACAATAAGCAGACAACTTAAGCCTACAAAAAATAAACACAAACAACTGTTCCTGCACCTACACGCACACTAATGCATGTGCATGTGAATAGTGTGCACACATGCCATCATACATGCACGAAAACATGAATACATGTAAAGACGTAGCAGTGCCAATTGGCTTTCACGTTCTTCTTTTATTCGACCTCTCAGCAAAAAATTTTATATTTTGGCCACACAACCTTATTAATTAGTTTAAACCTAGTTAGACACGTACGTAGGTAAATACAATAACCACATATATATACATATATGTATAAGTACTAGCACTACAAGCCTATGCAAGTCGTTTGCTTTGGGAACACAATTTTGGAAGTTACAATAATTACTAGAAACTTTTTTAATGATTCTCTTGATCGCTTATATCATTCATCATAGATGGGACAGCTCTAACCAAAATGTATTCACACGTTTTCTTTGCCGTGAGGTCCTACATAGACTTCTTTTCTGCTCAGGTCCGTAGCTTGCTCACGATCTCAGAGAGCAAGAGAGCTAGTGACAGAGCGGCATGGCTCACATTTGTTTCGCTCACACTACAGTACATTGCATTCGCTTACTCTCAGTGGCCTCTCATTGATGTCTCAAGATCGTTTGAATGTGCACAATACACGTACATCTCAACGATCTAAAGACATCAATGAGAATGCATTGAGCGCACACGTGGCTAAGCTGTCCATCTATATGTTCTATGTTAAGTGATAAAAGCGAGCAAAAGTGTCATTTAAAACAGTTTCTAGCAAATATTGTAACTGAATGAACATACAGTGGACGCTCGATTATAAGAAACAGACGGTTTAGGAGATATTTCCAATTTTTAATTGATGAAATTTCAAAAATAAAAATGTTCTTTCATCATTGAAAGAAAAATATGTTATGCTCCATCTTTTTAGGTTTCAAAGTACGATGGGAAACAAAACCCACACGCTGCTCCAAAGTATCATTCATCTCCTTATTATTAAAACAATTTAATAAGAAATAGGCGTAGGCAATTTCTTTGGGATTCTACAACATTTGTTAATTTGAACAACTGTAAGCTGCCGAGAAGTGTGTATTATTGATTTATTTACGCAAAACCAACTACAGTTTCTCATAAATTTGTATATTAAAATATATTAACTGATGTTGTACCCGTATTTTGAGTATTATATATTACTAATACAAAGCAAATATCAAAAATACAGCACAAAAAAAAAAAAAAAAAAAAACTCGCATAAATGAGAAATTTTCATTTCTAATTTCGGACGTACAATGATTTTGCACTGGTGTTTGTTATAACCGATATTTTCTTATATCGAGCTTTCCTATTATCGAGCGTTCACTGTATGTCTAAATAGTTGAGCACAGCCGAAACTATGTACATAAAAATACATGTTGGCCTAACATCCAAATGGACAAATGTACGTAGGTATGTTTGTATATACAAATCCCATTAGCACATACAACACAATTTTCATTCCCGGGGGCATTAGGCCCCAAAGCCACAGCTTTTATGGATTGGTCTTGTTAACATATTGACATACATATGCAAGTGTATATGTACGAATATAGAAATGTATTTTTACGAATATATGTAGATAGGATGTAATCATACAACAGACACTCTTACATACATTTCCAATACTTTGTATGTTATCGAAATAATTTAAAACAATTTGGTATTGTTCTATAAAGTGCAGCTGCAGATGCTGTTCGATACAATTCATTCACCTCCCGACATGCATACACGTCACAACTCGAAAACCGCTGTAACCGAAACCAAAATTCACTTGGCGCTGTCAAAACTGTCGCTGACGCTTGCTCTGACGCCGTCCCCACCCACGCAACATTCCACCCGTTGTGCTACCAACCCGCTGACCCAATCCCAAGCCCATGTTATATACACACACACACACACGCACGCACACACACACACATACATACATATATATAGCAGTGCGCGCACATACTGTCGCATTCGCAGCCGCATTTGTAAGTAGATGTACATTGTGTATGTACATTTGTATGTATGAACCGTCTGTACATAAGTTTATATGTATGTGTGATAAATGCGTACATTGAGGCTATTTAACTACAAATGTAAGCGAGAACTCAACAATTACAACCACTTGCGACACCATCGAAGCGCGACAAACATGTTGAAGATGTCTCCTAGCGGATTGCAGTTGCAGTGCCTGTGCATGCGTTGGTGTGCTGCTTTATGGGCGGCGAGCAAATATTATTTATGTATGGTTTTTTAATTCACTTTTCGTTGCTTTCACTTCGCATGTATTCCTTGGCTTCCAAGCAAACAATTTCGCAATTAATCAGTTGAACTTTTCTAACTTTATATTCACCACTCGACCCGATTTTTAGCTACATGCCACCACGAAAAGTCGAGTGTTCAGCCCCAGTTAAGATAAATGGCAAGATTTTGGTTTTTTTTTCGCACTACAAATTAACAGCGTACGTTTTCTAGATTCGATTGTCGCTTGCAAAAATAAAAAACAAAAACCGCTATGTTCGACCAGTTACCGACTTTATCTCACCAGTTGGACGAAAAACTTAACAAACGCAAGTCGATGAAGACTTTGTATTACACTTTACACATTACACGCTACAACTACACGCACAACCAGCTAACCAAACAGTCCTGCGCTTTGGATCGAACACAAAAAGCTCAAAATGAACACTTGCAGGTACTGCCGCTGCGAATAAGCTGCACATCACTTGATGTAACCAAGACGTTGTCTTCGTTGGGACGTGGGAATAAAAGAGATGTGTATATAAGCAAACGTAGGCCCGTTGTTATAGCCATGCGTTCTTTCCATCTGACACAGATGCTCGATAGTGTTGATTCTATCGCACATATGGCATTGAATAAAGCTTTAAGCTTTCGTATGATGTTTTCATCCCCCATCGCCAGGGCACAATTTCTGGGCTCTACATACACTGTACGACTTGCCAGTTGAAAAGCAATTATGCTTTCTACTCGCTTATCGATTTGTTTACCAGCTTTCAGGCAGGGCTGCTTATGTTATTGCGCCATCTGGCAACATATTATTTGAACTACAGTGTTTCTGGCGGGGCTGCAAAACGGTATTAAACTACAATCAAAACAATTAAAATCTTTATCACCGTTCATATTTTTTGTTGCATTCTGGTTAAACATTAGCGTATGTTTTTAACTACTAAAAATACGAGTTGCATTCGCTTTCAGTTGTACATAAAACCATAGGATGAATTACAAAGTTTGTGCACAATTTTACTTATTGTATTAATTGTATAGTCGAAAGTAAGAATTGTAAAAACTTCCCGGATGCTCTTAGATCATCTTTCTGCTCGATTTTGGTTGATTGGGTGACCTCCTTTTTCTGTCGACCACCGAAGAAAATGTTGCATTTAAACCACAACATTCTTCATTTGAATGCATTACCCTCAAATTACGACTAAGAATAATTAACTAAAAACAACTGAAAACACGATTTGCTTAAAGCTCTCACTCAGTCGACTTATCGCATTTATCATAGCACGAAATGCTATCGCTTCTCTCGTCGCTTATCGCTTGCTCTTTGACATTAGCCTTAAAATCTAGGAAGCTACTGTGGATGGTGTAAGTGCAACTAAGACGGGGTTTTGGGGAAATCCGTCCGTAACTGTGAAAAGTTGCGAAAATACGGCTTATGAAACATTTTGTTTTAATTTAAGTTCGGCTTCAAACTCATTTCACGGATCTTTCTTTCGGAAAGCCCAACTCCCTGGAGGAGAAATGGGAGTATGGGCAAAAGTTCAAGAAACGTCCGATTGCTTTCAGTCTTATTTAAAAAAAAAATTAAATAATGCTCGCAGATAATTTTTGAATAAAACCATTATGTTATTCATTCGGATCAGCTTAACATTTATAAATGACATGTTTTGCGTCTATCTAATATCTGCATTAAATGTACTTTAGGGCGTGGGACTTAATCAAGGAAGTAGGATAACATTTAAGGTTTACACGGACAGGAAATGAGTCTAAGCTTAGCTCGAACGAATCCAGCTAACATATCTACTTAACTATACTTACATAATATCACCCAAATTGAGACGACTTGGAAATGGAGCAAAATTCTCATGACTACTGTCTGTGGCGAGTCGTCTACGCTGTTTAAATGGCTGCCGACCAGGAGGTGTGCTGCCTCTGATGACGCCATCTCCAATGATGGCAATGCTGTCATCCAGACTAAAGACGTTTGCATTTGTTAAGCGTCCCATCGGTGATGAGACCCTTCCGCGTCGAGCTCCCACTCCACCCAGCATCCTGATAGTAAAAAAAAAAAAAAAACACGACTCGTCTGCCAATTACGCTTTACACGATGAAAGCGACAGACATTACGGTTTATAAATTCGAGCTATTTTCAGAGATCAAATCGTTTAAATAAAACCGAAAAGGGCCAAAGAAACTCCATGACAATATTAACTAACACATGCAAGATTAACGATCTGTATTCACGGAAACCACAGCCAAGGACCCGCATTCGACTCCGAGCAGCGTCTGGGATGCACTCGCTGGCACCGTTCGGCCACAACTGATATGCTATCCGTTCACCAGGTATTGGAAGGCAATGTGCCTACGTAGATGATGACAGCGATAGCAGACGATGACGTGCTCGATAGCAGCCAGCATATGCGCATTGACTGCACGGCGCTGTTTGCAATTAGCAAGTCCCAAAATACTTGTTCAAATTATGCGCAGAGCGTGCAAGAGTTCTAATTAAATTTAGCCGGAACAAGAAACTCGGGTGAGCTCAACTTAAATATTTGTATTTCATGTAAGCCATCATTGATGAAAAGAAGCTTTACTGAAAATGAGCACAACAAATCATAAAGCACAATAAATCTTTATTCAACCTCAAAATATGATATGTAACTGAAATCAATTTTAGCCACGATAAAGCCTGAGGACCCAATCAGGCTTGGCGAAATATCACCTATGTCAACTGTGTTGTATACATTAAACATATATATATATATATATATATATATATATATAAAAGAAGATAATTTTTGATAGTTTTGGCTCATCTTATAACGAAATCGAACTCGTAGGCATAAAAAGTTTTCGAATTTTTGAAAAAAAAATGTGTCTACACTGTACGCAGACTTCAAGCTTCCTGGGTGGAAAACTTCAAAAAGGTCTTATGCGGAGTTTAGAAGACCCACATAGAACTTAAGGAATTTGTATTTGATCGATATTGGAGTTCAGCTTGTTTCCAAGGTTGAATGAACCACATTTCGGATGCAAATATCATGAAAAATGATCATTTGATATTTTACACTTATCTTCTCACAGCTCTTTAAGAAAATTCAATTGGGATAATTTGGGTCAAAGATCGTAGGGACGGAGTTATCATTTGTATGCTATAGGTCTCAAGCCTACCTTATCTGGCATACGAAAAACGAATCGCAACATTGTCTCAAAAATTGCAACTTTTTATTTACCACTGGTTCGGCTTCAAAATAATTACCAAAGATCTTTGTGAGAATTAATTGTGCGAGTCAAATGTTTAGTTTGGTTCTCTATTCGACGAACTTAAAATGCCACGGGCAAGGCCGGGGAGCAGCCGCTAGTTGGTATTCCTTCTTATTAATTAGTTTGATTAAGTATGCACATTGTCGCGATTGAAACTATTTTGTATACCAGAGGTATGGTTTATTCAGTTAATAACAATTTAGGTACATAGGTGAATCTAATGTCAGATTAGGGTGCATCTAATCCATGTCGTCCTCCTCAACATAGTCCCACATATCATTGGACGAATCATCTTCAAAGCCGAATATTCGCTCCAGATCCTGTTCAGCATCGGCACTCACAGTATCAGCCGCAAGAAGCTCCTGATCCGGACAGGCGCTGCAGCGGCTCTCGTTAATTCCATAGTTAAGACAGTGGGCACCCACGCACTCGCAGCAGCCATCGTGGAACCAGCGATAGCTATTGGCTCCCATGCTTTCACATTGTTGCTTGCATTTGTTCGACCGAATGCAAGTGTTAACGTAAATGACAGTGCAGTTGACAATAGCTGCCGGCCTGTATCTGGGCTGATTAACAAGGTTAGATTCACCTTCGATGCGCTGTTTAACGCCCAAGCGCATGGGAATGCGAATGGTGGCCCATTGGTCATCGTCCTCGGCAGTGAGTGTATCAAACAATTCGGGTACACCGTCAACATCGCCAATCTCCGACCGGAGCGTCAAAGAGGTTGGAGCATCTTTGTGCTTCGGGCACATGTCCAAACATCCACAGCACTCAGTGTACAGCTCGCCCAGGCAGTTCAGGCAGTCCTTGCAGCAATGACAGTCATTCAGCTTACACTGACAGCTCTGGGTGAGCAGACACTTGGACACCACCGAGCCGCAGACCATTTCATTGCAGCCATCATCGTTAGCTGCCGCCAAACCGAGTCCGATTAATATTAACACCAAGTTCAACATGTTCAGCCAAGGCTCAACCAATAATGATGTAATATGTATTATTGCGCCTCAACTTTATACGAACAGAAGAACACCTGACAATTAGTGCCCATTCTGCAGGCGAGGGCCAGGTAAACCAATTCGCAAATCCCATAGCTCTAGCTTCACCAGGTACGAGAATAACGAGACTGTAGTCGGGGTCTGCCATAAAAGCAATTTAAAAGAAGTTAAGCCCAGATTTGTTTAGGTAGGTAGGCGCGAAAGAAACCGTTACAAAAGAATAAATCAAATCCACAAATTTAAGGTAGCTCGGATCAGCCTGCACGTGAAACGTGATCATATCTTAAACATTAAATCTTAACCTATCCAAGGGTTATCACAGCAGTTATTTAATTCAAATTCATTTAGCATCTGAATGGTGGCATATCACACTACACATGACATAAGAGTATATACACAAATTATATAATGAAGGCCATAATCCAATCAATAAACTTTGCCACATCGGCATAGATGACATATTGACTAGTGCAACAGAGAGCCGAATCGTTCCTCAGCGACCCTCTGGGATCAGCGGGCAAAGCGGCGGAAACGGTCCCTCGCAGCATCCAACGATTGTTCTTTAGTATCATAAGCCCAGCGCCGGAAATGCCCGTATATATGCTGACACCAGCGCGGCCACCATCTCTGTGGATGTCCACCAAGAATCCAGCGCAGAATGTGCGGTTCGACGAGAGGCTGCGGAAGTGTGCATTGGCCTTGAAGCACACCTCATTGGAAACTATGGGCGCTCTTACAACTGTTGGTATACTGTTACTCGCATGGGACGCAGCGCCGTTTCCAGGCGCAAATGTGGACGATGAATCCTTTGAAAATTTTGTTAAATTTGTTCTATCGAAACTCCAGCCAATGACAATACCATTCTCGCCAACAATGTATTCCGTTTTGCTGGAGCCCGTCCAAAGACACACTGGCTGTATAAATGTGTTGAAACTGCCAAATGATCAAATGCGTCCCAAATTAATCAATAGCGCACAAGCAATGACAGAATAGTTACCGCACTTCATCCTTGAGGATAATGACAGCTATGTCAGCGTCGTAGTTACTCAGCTGTTTGTTGTAATCAGAGTGTATATATATGCCATCGACAGGCGCTGCTAAGGAGCCATCCTCATTCCAGTTCTTAAGATTGTGCCTGCCCAAAAAGACAAGCACTTCGTTGGCCGTGTAACGCTGGTTGAACATTTGAAAACAATGCGCCGAGCTTATAACCACGCGCGCAGAGATGAGCGTGCCACCGCACTGAAAGTTCAAGGATGTAAGATTATTAACGTAAATCGCCGCCAGCCAAGGCCAGGCACCGCGAGTTATTGACGGCATGCTGTTGCCAGTCGTGGCATTTTGCCCATCCACAAATGTATACGTGTCATCTGAGTCGAGCCCATCCTCTTCCATCTCATCCAGGACCGTGTCGCTGTCATCGTTGTCGTAATCACCAGTAGAGCCAAAAACCGGCGATTGATCTGCGTGATCAGCACTCAATCCAAACCTATTATTGGTAGTGACCCGTCCTTGTGAAGTTGATGAAAGGTTAGACGTTATTTTACGTTGCCTTTGTTGAGGCAATCGAAAGCCAAGACTTTTATTAATCTTACCACAGATTTCTCCAGCTGAATGAAATGGTTTTCTGCAATGGTATTAAGACTTTAATTAATTACCAGCTTATCAATGCACACGAGCTCACACGTATATAAATATATACATATGACTGTAGAACAATTGTACTAAAGCCAATCACAATCCAAATGCATACTTCTTGAACCGGATGTGCGGCGGGGGCTTAGAGCCGAACTCATTATTTGCTGGCAACTCCTTACCAACTACCGTTCCGAAATCTGCACCGCCTGGAGGCACCATTGCACCCGATTTTTTATCTGGTATAAAAGTAAGTTTTCGTGTATGCTCTAGCTGAATTTGAGTCATAAAAACGCTGTGATCTGCAAAAATATGAATTATGCTTGGGATCACAATCAAGTATGTTTACATACCGCCAGAACCGACACAAATAACTTGATTGTTAGCCGAAATAAGCACTAATTTGGGAGGAAAGTTATGTTTTGGAAATCGAATCTTGTAAAGCACTGGCGCATTGCTTGCAAATTGTCCACGAGTCAGCAACTCAATTTCACCAAGATAATTCTGTTAAGAGAAATCGTATTTTAGGAACATCGTATGGCACATTTCAAACACCCACCGTCGTTGGCTTGCCCCGCATGGAGAGCGTTACGCGAATCTGTAGAGCCTGCACATCTGGATTTCGTATGGCCGTTAAGCCGAACCATTCACTGCCATCAAATCTGTACTGAAAGACCTTTGGGCACGGACTGATCGGCATGCCTTGGGCAATGGCCTTAGTGAATTGCTCGATACATATAAGAAAAATTGTAGTGAAATGCACTTTCATCATCACTTGCATTTATTTATCAAGCGTTTCTCACCGATTTCGGATACACACTCACATGAGCGCGACCATCTGCTTTAGGGTGGATCAAGTTCTATAAGAACATTTGTAATCAGCTGTAAATTTTAGAAAGCTCCCCCAAGAAACCACCATCATAACAGCCATTACTTCTACAGAAATATCGAAGAAATTTAGATATGCAGCCTATCCATCCATGATAATAAATTGAACAATATGGTTTCTATGCTAAAGCCTATTGCCTTTAACCTATTTTACAATACACTTTGTCGACTGTGTTCTACATGCAAATTTGAATCCACCCTAATATGCAGGCATGCACGCATGTGTACACGCATGTGTGTGTGTGTGTGTGTGTGTGTGTGTGTGTGTGTGTGGGTGGGTGTATGAATGCGAAAGCAAAACCTTTAATCTATCGAGGCGACCGCGTGCTTTTTCATTGTTTACGTTTACATACATACATACATACAGAGGCATGTATGTGCATACATACAAAGCTGCTTGCTTGTCAGTTTTGGCGGTCATACCAATGGATTAATATGATGATTTTTATGCCCTATTCCAAATCGGTAAAAGCGGTTTATCTGGCATTTGCTCACATTGGATGCCATATTTGCACTTTTAAAATTTCAAAAAAGATCTGGCAGTAGCTACTGAAGTAAATGAAGAAAGCATTTCTCTTGGGGTTGTGCTAAGGGAGGGGCTAAGGAGGGCGGCGCAGCCGCTGCGTCAGCTGCGCAGCAGGCGTAATCGTCCGTGTGTATGTGTGGTTTTGTGCAAGTATGTGTAGCAGGAGGCTAGAATGCTTGTGAAACTCCTAAGCAGGCATATATTCCTGTTCAGCATACATAGATTTCCGAGTCGATCTAGCCAGGTGCGTCCATATGTATAAGCACATCGATCTTCTATATGATGTGGGCAAAAGAGTTTATAATTTTTTGACGATACGTCGTCACTTTTTCAAAATATCGATAGCATCAATTTTGAGACTCAGTTGTGGTATGTGGCTCTCGTATAGTTGACAATTTTTGTATTACTATATTTTATTTTCTGGATACAATCCCACGTTCACCGCAAAATTGAAAAATTCAAAGCCTTGCGATTTGTATGTGGACTACATTATTATATGGCTCCTATAGAAACAATCCAATTTTAAGTGAAGTGACTATTTATCAGAAATTTAGTTACAAAAGTTTTGTACATGGATACATATAAACAAACTATTCAGCTGGTGCAGGTTCGGATGGCGGTTCTGGAGCTGGTGGCGGAGCATCCACAGCAGGTGGTTCTGCTGGTTCAGCAGTAGTTTCTTCTTTGGGTGGCTCCTGTACGGCGGTGCCTTCGGTAGGTTGAGGTGCTCCCTCTGGCGGTACAGCAGCTGGATCAGTGGTTGCTGGAGCTTCAGTCGGCCCTGCTTCGGTCGGCTGAGTATCGCCCGGCTGCGCCTCGCCTTCTGGACCTTTAGGTGCCTCTTCCGCGGTCGCACCTTCAACTGGGACGGACTCAATGCCTTTCTCCAACTCAGTGGACGGAGCACGCGACCCAACCTGTTCTGCTTCTTGTTCCATTTGAATTTTCTTTTTCTGTAGAGGGTAATATAAATAATTATAAGTGTGCTATAGTCCGTATACCACCAACACCAGAAGCTCAGGCCTCAAATAAAACACGTTTTAACACAACGAACACAACTAGCTGCTGGGATCAAAACAGGCCCCCATCGATTCATACTAGCATTTCGACTTTCATGGAAACAAATCTGAACACAATCTCTTAAAACCACTCTTTACTAACAGGACTTCGGTATCGATTATTATCGATTGGGTGGAAAGAGGGCAAATTATCGTTCATTAAAAACAAACTCGATCTGCATATCGGGCATTAGGAGGATCTGCGTTAATAAATTTAAGTCTCTTCTGAGAACGACGCGTTTATACAAACGAACAGACGGACTTGTGATCGGATACGCTTCTATCTGCCTGTTGCATACATTTGCAGAAAACCCTGATTACTTATTCGGGATATAAAAATAAAATGAAGTATTTTACCTTTTTGGGCTTCTTCTCTGCTTCAGGCGGTATGTCATCATCCGTCTTATAGTCTTCTGGAAAGAATTTGAGTGCATCCAAGCGGCCGGCTTTAACATTGCCACTACAGTAGGTAGGCTCAAATTGCACCAAAGACAGCATCGTATATGATTGTACTTTGTTAACTTTCAGCACGAATCTGTCGCCCGATGTGGGTTCCTGAATCTCGTCATATTTAAATATAGAGTTTGTTATTAGTTTTGCCTCTCCTGGAGTATCATTAGTGAAGAAACCATATTGAGGTATGTCTTCTCGAATGGTTTCCACAACTTCCATAATATCATCCCGTTTGAAAGCTTCGAATGCCATTATGATATGCGGCGGCTCTGGTGGTGGATCTGGTGGTAAGAATCCGGCAGTTTGGCTACGGAAGAACACGTAGATCAAGGCAGCATGGGTGCGACGGTTATTGGCAACCCATATAGGCGGAATCTTAACACGCTTTGTACGAGTTAGAGGCTTTGGTGGTTCTTCTTCTTCTTCCACCATCTCCTCTTCGCTAGCAACGTTATCGTCAAGACCCAAATCTAAATCAAGCGCCATGCCAGGGAATGCTGGCTGTGCAGCTTGTACTACCTCTTCTTCTTCACTAGCCTCTTCCTCGCCATCGTCCTCCCCCGGCTCTTGATCCTTTCGAGACTCGTCTTGCAGGCGAAGAGCAGATTTTGATTTTTCAGCTGCTTTTCTTTCGGCAGCCTTTATTCTGGCCTCTTCTTCTGAACTAATTTCCTCAACCCAAATTTCTCCCTCTGAAAAAAAAAAATAGTTTCAAAACATTTCATAAATATTTCAGAGCTCTTAAACACAAACCTTCCACTTCCACCTCGAATTTCACCTTCAAAGGTGATATAATTGGCGGTATAGGATGTGGTACATTAATTTCCTCATCAGGCGGGGCAACTCTTTCCTTTGTTAGTTCATGCGCGTAGATTGCAAGCACATGTGGTATAGGCCCAGAGGACTCGTCTATTTTCCAGAAGCACACAAGCAATTCCTTGCCATCCAGTTGCTCAATAATGTCAGGGGACAACGGATTCTTGCAAGCATAGTTAATGATATCAAAATCTGCTGCACAGACTTCGAGATACTTTCGGTCTTTGCATTGCATTTTGAGATGTTCAGCTGGCTCGGAAAGCTTTTTAAACATATCCCGAGAAACTTGTGGTCCAAAAACAGTTACACCAATATCAGGCAAATTTTCCATTATTATATCTGTACAATGGTTCAGATAATCAATTTTTTTCTTATGTTGCTTTTCCCGCTCAATGCGTTCAGCCTTTTCAGTTGCCTCCATTTTGACCTTCAGTGCTTCAGCTTCAACCGGCTGAAGTTCTGCAATGCCGTAGGTTGGTCGCGAAACATTTTGTAACGCTTTTTCAAGCTCCTTTAGTATAAGGGATACTAATTTTGGAGCATCTGACCCATAGAAAATATTTACAGCCCTGCCGTTCTAAAATGACAAAACAAAAGTTTCTGTACTGTAGAGAAAGTAATCGAACCATAGCAGAAACTGCATGAGAAAAATACAACTTACCACAGCAAAAAGCCACGTAGGTTCACTTTTTTTGTTGAACCGCTTTAGAGCTGTCACAGTATCAGATTTGCACTATAAATATACTTCAATTAGTAACTATTAAATTGCTAAGCAACTGCTTACAATTGCCAGGTGCATGTTATCGCCTCCCATTTCGAGTTTTACTCTACGCAAGGTACCAAGCATTCCAAGACATGGGCCACACCAATCTGAGTAGACTTCCAAAACTGCAAAGAAGAAAGATAAGTGTATGCTTACCTAAAATTCAATCAACCAGCAATACTGAGCAATCCTGGGCGGGTCAAAAATTTGTCCAGTTCTTCGTCGGTTTTAATTTCAACCTGTAACTGTTGCGCTCCTCCTCTCCTTGCCATGGTCTGTTCGGATTACGTACAGACTCATTCATATGCAATTTAAAATCCAAATATTTTATAATAATTTTCATAAAAAAGCCAAATTTTTGTTAAAATGTAGCATATTGTAAGTTGAATATTGTGCTGTAAACAATTTTTTTCATTATGCCTAGCAGCTCTACAATTTTTCAAAGAAGTATTGATCAAACAATTTTGTCTCTAGAACCAGACGGGCAGAAAGGCTCAACGCATTGGTATGGATTAAAGAACATATACATTCAGTTTATCTGCATCATAATAAATTAGTTAACCACATATTTATTTAAATAAAACATAGTTTTTCTTTACTTAAGTATTATCGAGTACTTACACATTGCATAACAAAGTTGTACATTCTGGTTATACATATTTTATATAATACTTAATAATTTGAAAAAAAAAAACAAGTGTGCTCTAATCGGGAATGCCCAACTAGGAGATACCGTGTACCCAGGGTCAAGCTTCTCTAACAAACATTCCTTCTTTACATTAACACATGTTCACTTGCTGCAGCGGCTGTGCTACTACCTTCATCCCCCACACTGTAGGAAATGCATTCTTGAATATCTTCGGTGTTTTCAGTCCGATCTATATCAAATGTTCAGGACTTGAATATGGCACCCAAATGTGAGGTTAAACCAACGCGCAAGGGTATTCCTTCAAAAAATTTTACTTTGGTAGTGGCGGGAGGGGGACATGAATTATTCCATACATAGAACAATTAATGCCGAATTTGGTGTCTCTAACACCTATATCTACGAGATAGCTTCAAACCACAAATAGCAAATGACAGGAGTTACTGATAATTTAACGCGTTCTGTGGGAGGCGCGGATATTCGAAATTCGAAGACTGATTTTTTAAGTCAACGTGTGCATACAGAAAGACAGACGGACCCGGCTAGATTGACCTAACAATTAAAGCTGATCAAAAACTATATATACTTTATAGGGTCGGAGAAGCTTTCTTCTGCCTGTTACACACAGGCCGATGTTCGTGCTCTTGTTGTGCTTTGGGTAGTAGGTAATAAATGAGTTTTCGCAACTACAAATTGTTCACGTCCTTTCTTAAATTACTATATACATATATAAACAAAAGTTAACATTAATGATACATGCACGTACGCACAGAGACATATAATTCATGCTCTTTATCGCACAGATATGCCATTAATTGTGATTACGTTATTGGATACTGGCTCTGGCTCGTATACTTCATCATTTGTGCGCATCTCGTAAGGTGCATCATAAAACTGTTCATTTGGTATTTGGTCGTAAATGTTTTCTGCAAATATGTTTTTAATTAGTTTAATTAGTTATTTTAATTGTAATTTAAACTCTACTTACCCGAGCGACTGCTTACTCGTTCACCGTCCCCAGTGTTGTCGTTGTTCCGGACTCCTCGATGCCCAGCTCCGCCTTGAAATGTGTTGAAGGTCGCGGATGGGTTGTTGTCCATGTGCATGCGATTGTTTGCCTCTAGCGTAGAATATGACATAACGGCGGCATTGCGCTCATCTTTTGTTTCGGCTGCCTGAATGTTTTCTGTATTTTTGACGGGCCTAGCCTTGTTCCGATACAAGAATATAAGGCCAAAGATGACGAGCAACGCTACAATAACAGTAGCGCCAATGGCAACACCTGTACCCAGTTCAGAACTTTCTTGTCCCTCCACAGTTGCCAGTTCACAATGCGGCTGCTTGCCACTCCAAGCACCATCCTCGGTGCATTTCCGCAGATACTGACCAACCCTTTGGTAGTTTGGTATGCAGTGATATTCGGCAGAGCCGCCGTATAGGGTGGAATCGTTGACCACAATAACACGACCATTGTCAATGGATAACGGCCGTCCGCAGTCAACAGCTGTTTATTGACAATTGTAAAACGTCTCTATATATTGAATGCGTTTAAACTCATAATACTTACGTCTACATGTTGGACTCTTGCCCGCCCATTTGCCATTTTTTTGGCAGACGCGTGTATCATTGCCAACCAAAATGCGACCCTTTGCACACTTAAAGATAGCCACCGAGCCTACGGCGCGAGTGTCTGCCTCCACAATTAAGCTATCACTTACATTGGGCATATCACAGACAACCTCAACGCATTTTGGGGCCTCGTGGCTCCAATTGCCATGCTCTGTACACAATCGTCGTGAGACGCCATTGAGTTTGTAATTTGCATTACATTCGTAAAGGACTGCGGCTCCATAATAAGTGACATTGGTAGCTAAGGTCACCTTACCGTTAGTAATGTTTTCGGGCGCTCCACACTCCACATCTGTAATGTTAGGGAATTTGCTTATTTTAGCTCCATCGATATTTATCTTATAATTTCATTATACTTACATACACACTCTGGTCTAATGCCGCTCCACTGGCCGTTATCCGTACAGGTAGCCAGGGCCTCGCCAACCATTTTGTACCCACGCTCGCAACGGTATTTCGCCAGCGCTCCAATTCTGAAATGCCAACGACTTAATTATAATTCAACGGTATTAACAAGAAGTAAGAATTCGAAAAGCCAAGTAAAATCTGATATCTAAATGTTTACCCGAACTTGAATACTTCAATAGCGTAAAATAATTGAATAGATATAAGTTTTACAATATAATTTTGCGATTATCAATATTCCTGTCGATGGGTCATTATTTTTTCCAGACACGTGATCAATAACAAAGGATACACATCATTGATTTTTAATCAATGAGGCACGTAATATAATCGTACTCGTCACAACTTACTTGTACGTCTGTGCTGTATTTTGTGTGGAATCCGCGGTGCGTATAAGAGTGCGCCCGTACATTCGGTCATTGCCGGTAACAGACAAGAGGCTATGTGTGGGCAGCGTCGGTTCGTGACATCGAATTTCTTAGAAACATAAACAATCATATAATATACAATAATTCAGCATACTATAATGTTGATAATATATAACCCTACCTTCACATTTGGGACTGGAATCGCTCCAGATGCCTGATTCGAGGCATTTACGTTTCAGCACTCCGCTTAGCTTGTGTGATTGCGCGCAGGTAAAGACCACCTCGGAGCCGACGTGTGTTGTATTTGACACATATTTGATGGAGCCAAACGGTATGGGCAATATGGAGCCACAGTCGATATCTAAAAGAATTTTAATTAAGTTACATTACAATAACACTTAATTTCACAGATACACTTACATTCACAGAAGGGCGCATCGGAACTCCATTCTCCTGTATCCAAGCATTCAAGAACTGGGTTTCCATGCATAATGTACCCAGGATCGCAGTTGTATTGTATTTTAGAGTGTACATTGTAATCATATCCAATGACAAAGGTGCCGGCTGGTACTTGTGGCGTTTCACATGTTACAAGCTCGCAAACTGGTGCTTCGCCAGACCATTTTCCATCTCTTGTACAGTAAAGATCCGATGGCCCGTCTAACCAGTGATCCTCATCACACTCGTACTTGACAATAGAATCAACCGTCGTGGTACCGTTCACTAGAATGGATATGCCCCGATCTGGACGAGCGGGCGCACCGCAGTCGACAAACCGACACGACGGCGTTTTGCTAGACCAATCACCTCCCAATCCACAAGAGATTATCTGTACACGAATAAAAAATTATGTGTATGAATTGGCACCGCATCCAATAAAATTGAATACTTACCGCTTCTCCAACAAGCACATATCCCGGATCACACACATACGTGGCAGTGGACCCAGCCCGCTTGTCAGTAAAGTGCACGTTGCCGCCAGTAATCCCTTGTGGATCAGGACACCAGTCCACCAAGCACTCTGGCTGCTTGCCATTCCAGCCTTCCTCCAAACATGTTCGATTTTCGTTACCAATTAGCGTGTAATTCTCATGACAGCTATAGGTAGCCACCACTCCATAGCTGGTGCGTTCCTCAGACAGGTGTATAGAACCGAATTTCAGCTCGGGTAATGCACCGCAGTCAACATCTGCATGTCTGTTGTTATTTAAACTCGGTACGTTAACTCTGATAAGTTACTCACATTTACATGTCGGCGCTGCTCCGCTCCATGTGCCATCTGGCTTGCACTCGCGCTCTGCATAGCCCAGAAGCGAGTGACCCTTTGGACAATCGTATTGAATTTTCTCGCCTAATGTAAACTTTTTCCCCAATACGGTTGTGTTTTGCCGCGCATCCGGCGAGCCGCAGGACAACGGCGCTAAAACACATAAGCACATTAGATAATATTTTTATATGTTATGAGATGACACATACAGTGCTGGCATATGAAATGCAGATAGTCCAGATTGCAGCCCACATCATTCCAGAGCCAATTGCGGCCACCATCGAAGACTACACAGTTCTGCTCTCCGTTGTAATTATTCGGCTGATCCTTACCCCACGCTGGCTTCTGCACTATTTCTCCTGTTAATAGAATAGCTTACGTTATTTACCTTTAAATGCGTGAATAATAAGATTTGCGTACCATTAACCCACTGCCAAGTTCGGGATGTAATGCCCGGTTCCTTTTGTGCGCCAATCCAAACCAATTGAGGCTTTAGTTCTGTTTTTCGACGCTCCAATTCCGATAGAATGTATTGGCTCGTAGCGCCACGAAAGTCGTGAACCAAGTTACCACCTGACGCAAAACAGTGCTGTTAGTTAACATGTATTATCGATAGGTTATTTTTATGCAACAGTGTACTTGCCTGTCTGCTTGCAAATGCTTTGAGCTTTTTCAAAGCTTTCGCCTTTCGTAATATGAAAGTCGTAGCATGTCTTGGAAAATGTCGTTACTACGGTATCCACCCCGATTTTAGGGCTTAGACAGCGATCCACGGAAAATTCATCATTAGTAAATGTCTCTACTTCGCACAGGCTTAGGCTGCCCTCAACACCAACCAGCTGAATGGCCACGTACTGGCCAACAAGCGGTCTTGCACAGGTGAAAGTCTTCACAATGCCTTCGTCTAGTGTGCCTGGGTACCAGGCGCAAAGGGGATTCCGCTGCAGATCCGCGCTGCTATTGCCCACTCGAATCTCCAAATCCTGCAGCGGCTGATGCCCACAGCAACCGCGCGTGGTAATGCGTACCACATGTACAGCCTGCGGCACCAAA